TTAAAATCAATTTTGCAAGTCATGGTTCAAAGTATTTACAAGTCATGGTCAAAAGTATTTATAATTTTCATTTTTAATTTTAATTTATTCTATCAGATTATTTATGGTTTAAAAATAATATATTTCAAGATATATTAAAAAAATTCCTGAAGATATATTCATTAAATATAAATTTAAAAAAATTATTGTTAATTAATATTGATTTTCTGGTTGATTCTTTTTATCAATCATTTCTTTAACTTAAAAATTGAAATTGTAAAGAAACCTATTTAGTTTTCTTTATAATTTTTTTTTATTTATGTATTTATATATTCGTTATTTATGTATTTATATATAAGTTTTGATAACATCTTATATATCTATTTAAGTTTTTCATGAGCAACATCTACATAGATAAATATATATCACAAATTGCTGAATTAAGTAAGTTGATTACATAAAACGCATCTGATTTCTTTAAAGATTACATGTATTATATATTATTACTAAAATATTTAAATTTATAAAACTTTTTCAGGGATTTTCCAGATATTTTTGTTCACATTTTCGAGCAAAGTTAGAATATATTGAAATTAAAATTTAAAATTAATTTAATCCTTTTTTAATCGTATTAGATTTTTATCTACTATATATATTTATTATATTATTATCTACTATAAATATTTTTTTATTCGTATTTTACTCGATATTGAAAAAATTCAAAACTTCCCAAAGTTTCAAACATTTAAAAAAAGAGATTAACATGGCTAATCGGCGGATTCCTGAGCGTTCATAAAATAAAGGAAATATTGAATAAAATAAAATAAATATTTAAACAAAAATTCTCCAAGAAAAAATCTATCCTGCATATTTCTTGATTTTTTCAGATGAAAAAATTCTCTGGCAATTTTAGATTCTGTCAGATTTTTTCATTTAATGTGAAAAGACATAAAATATCACAAAATTACTATTTTGATGTTTTCAAAAGTCTGCAGTTTTTAAAATAATTGTATATGAGCAATGCCGATGTATGTTGTAATCATAAATTATAATCATTATTTATATTCAATATTACTTGTTAAATATTTCGCTTTTTTTCGCTTTTATTTAGTTTATATATATTTGAGGGAGATAAATCACTTATGTATTCTGAAATCGTTATTATACGTGTGCGTATTTAATTTAAATAGTGACAGGGAAAAAATAGCTAAACGTAAATGTCAAACAAATCAAGCTGATAAATTTATCCGTTGTACACGAAAATTACTCAATTTTGTGCAATCAATTCTTTCCGTGAAAATAAGGAGAAAGAAACGTTACATACTTGAATGTTACATCGAGATAAAGGTCAGAGTAATAAAATGTAATAAGTGCATTATAGAGGAAACAATCAATGTATACATGTATGTACAATGTCAAAATAAAAATTTGTATACGTGAAAATACTATACATCTTCCAAAAGTCCAAGAACAATCAAATATCTCAAAAACAAAAAATTTTTGAAAAAAATGTTTCAGACAAAAGTTTCAAGATTTTAAAAGTTCTATTGAATGGTCCCCGGGTAGATTGTCATGATGAGTCCCTAGTCAAGCCCGAATGAAGGAGGAGGGCGCCAATCTTAGGCTAACAATCCAGTTCCGTAAAAAACTACTTGTTGAGAAGACCAAAGAAAATGTAGCTGAACAGTCATAGCGGCAACGATTTGGCAAGAATAGGGACGAATGATTTAGTAGTAACGCGTTGGAAGAAGGATGTCGAGCGAAATCTGTGCTGTTTGCAGATTTCCAACTAGAGACGGAAGACTTGACACTAAGGCCGGAATTCATATCCGATCTTATATTTAAGATTGTCTTAAGCTTTCATTCCACCAATCAATGGCTGCATTGTAGCTATTTGATTGGTTAAATGAATTCTTAAGATGATCTTAAATATAAGACCGGACTATGAATTCCGGCCTAAAGATTCCTGGGAGCGTATTCCATGACAAGCCAAGACCCATTCCGGGTTTTAGCGCTATAATGATGATGATTAAATGGTTATATCTGTTTTATCTTGAGTGGAGAGATCAAAGTCATTTGACAAAGTCAATTCGACTTTGTTTTTTTTAAATAGAACTCCCTATTTTTCATTGCATAAGCTTAAAGAGCTTTCAAAGTACTATAAGAAAGTATTTTTTTTGTTAATTTCTTATTTTTACAAACCATAAAATATCTATAAAATCTCATATATCTAAAATATCATAAACCGTAAAATACTCATTTTTCGATAATATTACCTCAATACTTTTATGCACAAAATAATGAAACGAATCAATTGGTGTCCACATAGTAACAAACCACATAATTATTTTCAGAAAAATATCTATAACTGTTAATGCAAATTACATACTTTTTTTAAAACTAGAATTTTTTTTCTTGAAACTATAATTTAAGCTCGTTACATAATAAAACTTTTTTTCACGGGAAGAATTATGCGAAATTTATATATATACATACACATTATCATATAGTAAATTTATCTAATATAATGATTACGAACAAAATTAAAATGATTATATAATTTAGGATCAGTCTCCTTCATCCATGTGTGTGTAAGACGTTAACATTCTTGCAATGCAGTGCGATTTCTTCCGCAAGACGCATGCAGCATACTTATTGGATGCAAAAAAATTTCATGGAAATCCCAGAGCGAGAACGAGAGAAAAAATTCTAAGAAAAGATTTGGGCCGCGGATGACGCAACATATTCTCATATTCACTTCATATTGACAATAATGGAGTGATTCACTTGTGTACTGACGTCGTTAGATCATAGCCTGTGCACGTAAATGATTTAACGTAAATGATAACACGAAAACAGGGTTAAATGGTAGTAAATTTGTTTCTGGTCATATTTATGTATCGCTTCCTTCGTAACAAAAATAAAAGTCGCGTTAAAAAAATTTCACAGGTCATTGTTATTTTTCCAATATCCCGGTTCTTTCTATCACTATTTAAATAGCATGAATTTATATACCTAGATATTTATTGCATCTTAAATTAGTTGATTAATTTTTATTTTTAATTATTTTGGTTATATTTTTTTCGTGTAAATTCCTAAACACAGAGTTTTTTGTACCTTTATCATCGGTTTAAACGTTGTCTTTTCATTTACGCATACGTGACGAAAGTGTGTTTGCCCAATTGCTTCCCGTCACACTTTCTAGAGAACACAAATTAGTAACGTACCATTAAAGTTATGCATGAAAAATATATGTATATGCGTATGTAATCGAATCGGTGAGCAGCGTAATAATAGATGCGATACGTTCAACGAAATTTCTATTGTTAGTTAACACGTGACTAGACTCATATCTAGAATCGGTTATTATGGTCACTTCAAACATCACGAAAATTGCAGAGCTACGAATTAATTCAAGCACGAACTGTTGAAATTTGTTTGATGGAAACATAATAAAGATGAATAAACATGAATAAAGATAAATTAATTAACTTCATTACTTTGTAAAATAAAATTTCGAGAAAAAAACCAATTATACAATTATCAATTTCAATCTTTGTTAATAAAATAAAAATAATAAAAACTGTTCCAAATAAATTTATGCGTGTGCAATGACATTTAATAAATAAAATGATTTCAAAAAATCAAAAAACATATATATATATATATATATATATATATCATGTAGAAAATCATGTAGAAAAATGTCAGAAAGCTGCACGATGATACTTGCATCATTATTAATCATTACATAATTATTAATCATTAAGACGCGAGAAAAAATTATTTTTAAATTTGAGCGTCATGCCACTAGTAAGTGACGAATCTAAATTTGTATCAGGAAGGCTCGAAAAAGGAAATGCGAATGCGCTTCGAGAGATACCTGTCAAAATATGCACCTATCGAAAAATTTAAAAAACTATAACCGTGCGAACATATTTCGCGTTTGCCGCACGCATTAGCGCGTGAATCATATCTTTACAAAATGCATAAAGTGGATAAATGGACCCTCTGATGACCCGTATCACACATATATCATTCGCAAGAACATAACCTATATAAGTGAAAGCGAGCATGTCATAGATAACTTACTGTTTAATACGGTAAATGCGGATGATACCACCAAGAAGACATCGTCCTCGCCACCCCTTTGATACATTGATTAAATTAACCTTTATATCATTTCGGCGTCACTCGATTACACCTTTGTTGCACGCACACTACTACATAATGCAGAACCAATGCAGACGATGGACTATGTGGTGCACTGGTGCACAGCTTCCTCGCGACATCTGCAGGACATTTTGGAAATACGTTGCGTTATTTATTGACCGCGAATCTCTGTTGTACCGAATATAATTACCTTTGTCACAATTGATCTCGATTTTAAATCACTCGCAGGTGATTAATAATGTCATAATTCTATCTTCAATTGCACATAATTATATATCTCTAGTCCATGAAAAATTTGCTTCGATCAAAAGGCCGTATTTAAAAATTATAAATTACACATTCATTGTCATTTTTAAAATTTTTTTACACCAATGATCATTTTCTGAAAAATTGTATGATCCTTTTTTTTATATAATCTAAAAGTGAAATAAAATATTATTTATAAAATATTTGAGGTAATATATGTAGAAAAAAAAACTGCAGTATTGTCAATTACTGATATGATAATTTTTCATTATTTAATATTAATTCAAATATATTTAAAATATTAAAATTGAAATATACACATATATATATATATATATATATATATATATATATATATCCATAAGATCCAAAAAGATTGCAAAAACATTGCATGGAAACATTGCAATGCAATGTTAATACAAGCTTCTGTGTTATATAGGTAAATATAAATTCATGAAAAGTAAATATATATATATATATATATATTCGTATATATAATAGTAAATATATCATACAGTTGTAAGACTGAAAGAATCATTGCAATTATAATAACAAAATAAGAAGTTGAGAATATTTATATTGTTATACTTATATATTATACACATTATATTACTGTAGCATTTCATACGTATATATATCCAATTATATATGTGTAATTATGTATAAAACTCGTGTATTATAGCGAATGGAATATCACAGAAAACTAAACGTCGTTATAGTAACGTATACTTTTAATTATGAATGGTAGCCGATTTTTGTACTTCACCAGAATGTCTGGCATGATTCATCATCGACTCTACGCGATTCGCTGTCTCACGCACGACATCGGATATCTCGTCCGGCAAATGATCCAATGTTGGGATATGTGCTGATAATCGTTTATAGACAGAATCTCTGTTGCCATCTTTTTTGTGTCGTCTCTGTTCCTCATACTTGAGCTGTTGCTTGAAGAATATCGCATTTTTTATAAACTCCAGAGTATTCTCAAAGCTTTTCCCAGCACCTTGCATGGTCTTGATGGCACTGACAGCATATTCCACATCGTAGCATCTGCCTAGTAATTGTTGTTGCAATGCTAACACTTCCACTCGTTTCTCCACCATTGGCGGCAACGCTTTCCTCACATGTTCCTGTAGCCTGTAAAAAGCGAGTGACGGCTCGTTGGCGACAATGTGCATGTTCTCTGATATGCGTTCAGTCGCTGTAACACAAAACAAAATAAATATATCAAAAAGAGCATGTAAAGTAAATTTAAAAATTTTCTAAATACAATGCTAACCTTTTTTAACTTTTGTCTCCAATTCTTGATCAGGTTGATATACTTTTGCCGCCATTATTTCTACTGTTGTATTAAATAATGCCACAATTTTAAGCGTTACAGAGGATTAATTTGACATTTTATAACATAAAAATTACTTCAATTTATCAATCGCCGGTATTTTTGTCACATTCCTCTCAAATATATTATATTTCTTCTTTTTATAATACAGTGCATTATTCTCCCCTTCTTTTATCCCAATTGTTTTTCTGATTCTGATAAATTCAAGCTTTAAACACAGATGAAAATATCGTTTCGTACTTTCCTTTCGCATGAATCAAACAGCTGTCACGACGATCAGCTGATCGTTGACAGCTTTGGCTACGTTCCAGCTGACGATCGTAACACTCGCGAGTAGTATCTCTGTCTTTGGTTAACTTTCGATGAACAACAAGGATGAAATAATCTCAAGAACATTGCGATGGCCAAGTGGAACATAATCTTTGATGGTTACCGCCATCTCGGCTTTTACAGCGCGTACCGGAAATAGCGGTATGTGTACGCGGATTTATCATTCGTGTCGGAAACGTGGCAGCGAATGGAGCGCTGTTGGCACTTATCGCGTGTATTTCCCCTTCTCCCGAGCTTTTTCATATGGATTCGAGAAACACGAGACACGATTTTGTACGTCGAAGATTGTGAAGACGAGTGACGATAATAATCATCGCGGTCACATCGGGCATTCCTCGTACAAAAAAACGTGAGTTTTTCATTTATTTCTCATACAATTGTAAACATATTCTCACATTCGTGGTACGTAAATACAAGTGCTTTTCTGTGAACTGGGCAAATCACTTGGTAATGTAATTTTCAAAATTGATGGATAAATTAACATAAGGTTGACATAAAGTAACGATTATAAATTAACCGGTCGATTCATATGCGTTAATAGTGTCGTATAACGAAAATTGATAATGAGTAATAATTAATGAAGTCTTTTTTAATCTTGCAGAAAATGAAGTGGCACATCTTACTTGCAGCTTTCGCTATGTTATGCATAGCTGCATATGCAGAGGAGGAGGAAAAGGCCGCTAGATTATTAGTCTCTAAACAGATACTCAACAAATATCTAGTAGAAAATATGGATATAGTTATTAAGGTAAAGAAAAATATTATTATATCATATAAGTATTGTATCTCTCATATTTGACATTTCAAATATTCATAGAAAGTATCTTATTAATATTCTTTTAATTCCTTCAAATATTTATAGAAAGTATCTTATTAATATTCTTTTAATGACTTTTCTATAATAGAGATTTTTTGTATCATTAAAATATATTACACATACTCAATGGTTATTCTATATCCTTCATTGAAACATTGGATAAATCTTTTTTTATAAAAACAAAATTTACAGTATACTATTTACAATACTGGTAATGTGGCTGCATCTGAAGTCGAGATCACGGATAATTCATTTCACCCAGACCACTTTACTCACGTGAGCGGCGAATTAAATGCTAGGATCGATAATGTGCCACCTTACACAAATGTGAGCCACACTGTGGTTGTGAGGCCACGTAAATCTGGATATTTCAATTTTACCTCGGCTGAAGTTTTGTATCGCCGCTTTCAAGAGGCTCCTAGATTACAAGTGGCTGTAAGCAGCGAACCTGGCGAAGGACTCATTGTGGCATACAGAGACTATGATAAGCAGTTTTCATCTCATGTGGTAAGTACAATGTACATTGCAAGTACAGATTCTTATAATGAAGGATTATAAAATTCTGTGAAGGAATAATAACTATTCTTCTAACTATTCTTACTTTAAATTTGAAAGAAAAAAAATTTATTAGAAAGTAATAAAGTAGAAAACTTTTATATATTGCAGTATATGTATAGATTATATGTTCTAGATGATTTACATTTCTATATTTTATTCTTCATCATTTTATAAGCCTTGATTCTTAACTTTATTTCCTTTCCATTAAGATTATTATAAATTATTTCTACATTATATAGAGCGCTTGTCACATATACATGTATATATATATAGTTGCATTGTTTTCTTTGTAACTTACAATAATTATATTCGATAGAAAATCTTATGCAATCTAAATTAAATAGATCCATCCATTTTTTCATTTATGTACCTTAATTAAAAAGTCATTTTGTCAACATAATCATGTTCTGTTGTATCTCGTTGTAGGTCGATTGGGCCGCATTCGCTGTAATGACTCTACCTTCTCTGCTTATTCCATTTGCCTTATGGTACTCGAGTAAATGTAAATACGAGAAATTATTGAAGAACACAAAGAAGCACTAATCATATTTTAAATATTAGTTTTTTTCAAGAATACTTCTAGGTTATTTTATATAAATTATATAAATTTTCCCATGTCATTGTAAGGAACACGACTGTTTCGCGCTACGTACATCTACTTTTGTAATAAATGCTATTGTTTATCAAAAATCGCGTTTTTTTAATTCAACATGAAATATATCCTTAATTATTAGACTATACATGTATCCTATGAATATTCATATATCACAGTTTCTAATAGAATATATGTAAAAAAATAAGATTTTTCTAAGATGACGTGTACGTCAAACAATAATGAGTTTACTGTTATTTTATTTATAAAATAAACAAAAATATAGCTTTTTGTAGGACTAGAAACTGTACATATCATTACTAAAATGAACGTGGCACACTTAAATTGTATACTGTGATAATGTTAACAAACGGATAATTACAAATACAAATAATTATATTCGTATTATACGCACGCACGCATAATTATTACTGAATCATACAATTATATATGTACATCGTATGTATATCGTCACTGTACATATATATATGTATATACAATATTATTGTATTATCATACAATATTATACAATACTAATATATATGTAGATATTATATAATCTGCTGCACTAAGCAACAATACAAATTTTATGAAAAATTGAAAAATTTCTTTTTTACGAGAAGCCAAAAAATTTGTATAATTTTGTATAATAAATAAACGATTTTTTATAACAAAACAATAGTTTTGATTTTAAGGCACGATTTTGCGACGATTGCGCATTTATTACGAATGAAGATAATTTAACTGAAATATCAAATCTTACGTGTAATCGTCAGCCGTTTTATGTTTTAATGAATGTAACAAATTAAGTATTTTAATTGAAATATTGAACGTTTCTTAATATCGGAGCAGACGTTTTTTTAACGAATCTTTGTCGATAATTTAACTATCTAGTATATATTCGTTTTTACGCCAAATAGTATAATACTATTCGATTCTTTCATATATCTCTTCTTTTTACGTATAGCATGTCGAAAAAACGCGGATTCATGTTTTAATGAATCTAACGAATTAAGTATTCTAATTGAAATATTGAACATTTCTTAATATCGGTGCAAATATTTTTTTAACGAATCTTTGTCAATAATTTAAACATTTAATATACATTCGTTTTATGCCGAATAGCATAATACTATTTGATTCTTTCTGGCATATACGTCCTTCTAGCGTATGCCGAAGGCGTGCCGAAACAACGCGGATCACCGTAAACAGGCGATTCGAATGCTGAGAATGGTCTCAATGGCGAAGTTGACGGTCTGCCAGTCGAAGTGGGAGTCGTACATGGACCACTAATCGTCTTCTTCAACATTGGTGGAGATTTATCAGCTGTAAAAAGAACATATTGTCATTGTTACAAATATTGTAAAGATACTAAAGCAAACATTGGATAGAGTTAAGTGCGCATTTGAAAAAACACATACCAAAAATGCTTCTGTTCCTGACTGCTAAATCAATACTCGCCACTCTATGTTTCCACACTGAAAAACATACAAATCACGTTATTAATATTGATATTTTTTACTAAATTAATCATATACGAATTGAAGAATTTAATCTTACTATAGAAAATTGTAATCACAATAATAGCGAACGTTCCGAGTGTATATCTGTGGAAATATATATAATTCACCCATTGCACTCCAGACATAGGGATAAAGTGATATCTCGACACGCGAATATGCAGCTAAAAAGAAATAATATCATAATAATAATTATATCTTTGCGATATAAAAAATATATTTATAAATATATACGTGCAGCGTTTACTTACAGATACATTTTGTTTGGTCAAATCATTTGCAATGAACACTCTTTGTCCTTGAATTTCATCCTGATTATTCATTAAACGTAGTTTATATTGTATTGTAGATTTGAAGACATATTGTTGCGAGATGACAACTACACCATCTGGTACATCAATCTAATGAAAAAAAATAATATCTCATAAAATACACAGAGACGAGACACAAATTTTAAGTTTTTCTTAACAAGCATAATCTCGATTAAAAATGAGAAATGAGATTACAAGATTTACCAATAATTGTTGTATAAGGCATTATTTAATTATGTACAAGCTTTAGCAAAGTAAATACATGCTTTCACATAAAAATTACTTACAGTGAGATGTTGTAACACTGATGGCAATCCATATACTTCAAACGTCGTTAATGGCGCGCTGTGACTTTGAGCGGTAACGAATACGATTTCCTTGGCATCAACATATACAGGTGGTAAATAAATGAGTTCTAAAGCCACCGATTCGATATCTCGACTTCGAGCACTAATTTGGATACGGCTATCTAATACACTAGCAGCTATAGTAGGAGAGGCCATCGATACGATGTCGCAGTAATAAAAGCCTGATGATGAGAGAAAGAGAGATAAAGTTATTATAACCGTTGCTTATTTTTTATTACTATAAAAATAATTGAACAACCAACCTGTCACGATATCGAAACGTGGCTTCACGAGGAACAGATCACGTACGTCGAACGACAAAGACGAGACAAATTGCACGTTGCATGTATAGGGAAACGCGTTCAACGCGAATGATGATAATGTACGGCAACCACCTAGACCTCTCGCCAACACATTATTCTCCTTGATCTCCTCATCTTTGTTCTTCAACACGAGCGGTACGCTAAAAACTTCTGTACCAGTGATATTCCTTCCTCTCAGAGGAACGATAGATACCTATATGTGTAAAAAAATCAATGTTACAATTTCTTTTTTCTCTTTCATACGTAAAAAAAACATAATGTTTCAAAACTATTATACTTTTCTGTCATTTATAATTACCCGTGAAATTGGTAAAATATTGACTTCTATCTCACTCTGCACGTGCGTTGCGAGGCTGTGCTTTATAATGGCCTGACCGACATTTCGCGCACGACCTATACCAGTGATAGGATCCACCAATAATACTTCAGGCGCGGATGACTGCCAATATCCCGGATCCCCGTCGGCCGAGAGAAGCGGCATAGAAAAGCATACTACATCGCCAACGGTCAAAGTCGTCCTTGTCGGGAACACGACGTCGCCGATCATCATGTGAACGTAATCGAACATTCCGTTAGGATATTTCTCGTTAAAGACTTTTACAATCAGCTCGCCATTCTCCAGGAAATTCGCGGTGATGATGCTGTCGCTCGACGTGGAGAACGATGCTAAATCGGCGCGATTCAGCGTAGCCTTGACATTGACCTCGGCGGCGTGAAATCTATTCCCTACATTATCGTAGTACTCGACGATGTACTCCAGTTTCATTCCCTTCGGTAACATATTCAGCTCCTCGCCGTTCCGTATACGCAGCTTGGACTTCAAAGAGAGCATCATGTAGTGAATAGGCTTGACCTCGACGAGAACCGTCAACGACTGTCTCAAGCTGTACGCTTCCGTATTCGTAACGGTGACGATCGTATCTCGACCGAGATTCTCGCCGGATCTCACGACTCCATTTTTGTCCACGGTCACGGTGGACTTGGAGGTGGACGTTAAGGCGCGTGATGCGACATTTTCCGTGAATCTATCATCATGGGTACTTGACAGAATCTCGTAAGTTGTCGTACCATGTTTGTCCCGATTCGTTTGCAGTCGCAGGGCGGAATTCGGCGACATTAATATCGGCGAGCTCGCCGTTGCTGGGTCAATCAAGCGCAATTCCTCAAAGATCTCGATCTTTACAAACGTGGTGTAAGTGATGTCGCTCTTGCTGGAAAGTACGTTGCACGGTACGGTGACATTCAGGTGGATCGTCGCCACGCCCGGATTCACGGCACGTGCCCTCAGGGACACTTGATTCTGATATCGGACGTTGATGCCGGTTCCTTCGTACATGTTGTGTAAAGTAAGCAGACTAGGATCGCTCGACGACCAGGCGAAGCTCAACGGCAGATGCATAGAACCGATGATGAGCGGCGTCAAATAATCGGGAATACCAAACGCCCAAATGGGAAACATCGCTCCCACTTTCACTCGGTTCACAGGAGTTGAGATCTTCACTCCCTCGAGATGTAGTACATGTATGTCGGCGCGAGCCTCCGAATAGACTACCACGTTGCCCTTGGCGTCAAGTCCGATGGCGCGGACGCGAATCCGCGTCCGACCCGCCGACTTCCCCTCGAGGATCCCGTTGTGAGGATCGACGCGTAGAATATCGCCGCTTTCCGTCGAATATTCAATCTCGGCGTTTGGCGGACCGCCGATGGTCTGCAGCTGATAAATGGTGCCGATTAATATCGTCAGATTTCTCGGTTGTATTCGAAGCGGCAGAAACACCTGCACGGTGATTGTTTCGCTTCGTATTTCGCGATCGCCTTTCTTCACGAAGGTCAGCTGACTCTCGCCCTCTGATACACCATGAATTTTGTAGAATATTTGCTCGTAAGGCGCAGTAACCTGTTCGTTGACGGGCAACTGCTCGACCAAGATGTACTCGTTGTCGAGCTCTACGCGAAAATCTAGCGCGTCAAGAGACGGCAGCCTCACGACGTGGTCGTTGGTATCGTACAGCCTCAGTGTGGCTGTCACGCACTTTCCCTTCTCGATCTTATTGACGATTTCGACTTCAATCGTCGCAAGTTGTTGCACCTCCAAGTACACCTCCGCCGTTTTCGAGGGTAGGCAGAGGTCTACCAACGTCATGTGAAGCACGCCTGGTCTCCTCGGCGTCACGCTAATCGTTCTTGTCGCGTCCATGTACCGGACATCCGCTATTTCCTTTGAACTGAGGACGAATTCATAATAACCAGAGCCTTGGCTGACTTGCAAGTACGATTTCATGCTTGAATCATTCAGAATCATCAATTTGTTGGGGCTAACGATAGTGTCATTCACCAGAACTGTCTCTATAGAAGCCTCTATCAGCGGAGTCTCCACCCCACCTCTCTCGTTTTCAATGGAAAACGGTGGCCATTCCGGTGTGATCTTGAATCTATTAAGAACGAATTTTTGATAACCAGTGACAGTTGCGAATATCGTAAGAGTACCGTGATGCTTCTTGAAGATGATATTCTGATAGTGAGCCTTTGGCAAAACCACATTCGCATCCGTCCAAATCTCCTCTATCGTGCCGGAGGGATATTCCACGAGGCCACTACCAGATGGCTTCAGGTTCCACTCGACGTTCAAGCTCGTGATATTGTCAAATTGCTTGCCGTCCTCGTCCTTGACGATTACGGAGATTGTTAGGAGTTTGTCACTGTGTGCGATTATCTTATCTGTACTTTGGCTAATCGGACAGTTTTCATTGTCCATGAATGTCGGCCGCAAATAGATGTATCTAGGCTTGCCGCAAACAATTACGATTGTTCCCGACGCGTGAGTACGTCGACAGTTTGCAAGCAAAGGCACATTCGATACCGTATATGTCAGCGTCGTTTCGCCCAATGCCTTGCAAATTACCTTGAAGACAGCTCTATCGAATGGCTCGTTTAACGAATCCTCGTACTCCGCTACTTCGACAATCTGCTCATTTGAGAGATGTATCTCCCGCGAATAATCTTGAGATTTATTCGTCCATGGGAGCGGTCCGCCTTTAAACACCACGTTCCTCGAGGATCCCACGGACAGTAGAGTTTCCTTACTGTCCGGATGTATCGCTACGAGAGGCTCATATGCTGATATAGTAACATTATCCATCAATAAACGATCGATCGCATTATTGTCGTTCATATTGTAGGCCACGGTCACGTCAGACGTCCCGATACAGCGATAATTGACAACAGTTATCACGGCACACGCAGCACCAATTGGCTGCACGTTTTTATCGTATGTCCGTACAAAATTCTCATCCGGAATATAAATCTCGAAATTGACATCCTTGCAATCGCTGAAGGGTATTTCTTTAACATCGGTCCCGTTGATCAGTTTCCCGAATAACGCGACATGCAGGTGAATCGGCTCTCCTATAGCCGCTTCCATGTTATATTCGATAATTTTCAATCTCGAAGGAGATAATACATATATCTTTGCTGTGTCCCTATTGTATTGATTCCTCGCCATCGCGACAGCCACTTCCGCTGTACCCGCCGATAGTATTCTAATACCGCCGTTTTGTGAGACAGTAACTATTGATGGTTGTCTGCTGGACCAGACATATGAGCCATCTCCTCCATTCGCTCTTAACATTATATCAAACCTAGAATAAGAAATAATAATAAAGTAAAGGCCACTTTTTCTGCTGTAATTTACAATTACAAATTAACAGTTTTAGAAATATATTTATTAAATAAGCATTTTTTAAATATTAATGTTTGAACAATATCAAAGTATTAGCTCACCTGGATTTGTTAACGACGTCCCATGGAACAGCTAAGACTCGAGGTTGAATTACAACCGGTGTATGTATCGTGAGTTCGGTTTTAGTAGATGGTTGCAGTACGAACTCGATCCTCTTCCCACGTTTGTCGATTATACCTCGCAACGTCGCTTCCACGATCGTTATTCCGCAAGTGATTGGTACTACGACGGCATAAGTGCCATTTTGCGTGATCGATTTTGGTTCCAAATACTGCTCGTCAATTTTGATGGAAACTTCCACACCCTTCCCAATATGAAATTTGTGATCTTTGTTATCATATAGATCAACAATAATTTCGTGAGTGTGACCTAATACTAATCCCCAGTTTCTGTTTGGCAGAACAGAAAGAGAAATATAAGCCACCTCTTGTACGTTAACTGTAGCGGAAGGTAGAATGACGGGATATTCCTCGCGAACATTCTTATCATGTAAGTATACCTTCGTACGACCAGTATTAACACCATAAGCGAAATCACGATCGCTATCAATCTCCAATATATCGAAATTCTCGGCTTCCAGGTAATACTGGTTCGAGGGCAGACTAATTTCCTCCAAACGTCCTTGACGAGTATGCATTATTTTGTATTTAAAGGTGTCATAAGTCATTATCGTTATTTCCGACGGAATAATGATTAAATTAGCAATGACAATTAGTTCAAGTTCTATAGAAGGAACGTGCTTGTATTCAGAATGTGGCAATTTAACAGATACTTTGGCAGTACCAGTCCTAACACCTTCTATCAGAACAATATGACCCCTCTTGCCGATACTATCTAATGCAGCTACACTAGCGGGTCTTTCATATTGCGACTCTTCATATGTCATAAAGCGTAGCACATTACTTGATTTGTTATCAGATAATATACGTTTGTCAGCATCACCAATAGCCCATAGAAATTCTATACCAGCTAGAGTTGTAAATTCATTTCCCTGTTCATCATAAGCTCGTACCTCGAATGCTTCAGGTATATCTTCAATGTATAATTCTTTGGTGGTAGTAGTGAGATTTAAGGAAAAAATTGCATCCACTATAACATCGCATCTTAGAAAGTGACGGGTACTGACATCTTCTGCCAAAACAATCACGGTATTCCTCGTTAACTCTCTCGTTATGGTTTGAATCAGCACCGCTGATGAACATGTTCTGTCAAAATTCTCATTTATGGGAATCAGTTGTATAACATCCAGACGTGAGGTTGACCTGAGGATGATATAAATGAAAAGTTGTGATATTAATAAAATAATTTCAAAGTAATCTTCTCGCAACACGTAATTTATTGTTCGTAAACATGTATATTTTACTAAAGTGACTTGAAAATTCTCGAAAACGCAAGCATTTGGAATTAATCGATGGGGTTATGGTGTCACCGGTAACGTACCATGAAGAATAAAAAATTTACACTCCCTAACTAAGATAAAGACCTCGTACAAGCTTCGCACGATGAAAATCTAGCGATGGTGAGTCGCAGCATCGCTCGTTAACGTATAAAGAAAAAATAATTACCATTTATAGCAACCACCATCGGTCACCTCCAGAGTGAAATTTACCGCAAAGTTGTTGAAGACGGGTAACAAAACTCGGGGCACATTTAGTTTATGTGTCGCAGAAGTTGTTGCGGAGCGAATTAGAGTGATGAAGCCGACGAGTAACACGATTCTCGCGAATGTTTTCGTTTCGAGAAGCATGTTGTCCGCGTGTTGGCGCAATTTTGTGGTCGCTGGCCGCTGGTCACTCTTGAACCACATGACATTTTCAAATGGTCGGGTTTAATTCATCCGGGATAATTTATTAGACGTTATGGACCAATCACAGCCATTCTTCTGAAGAATAAATAGTTACATTCTTCAAAAGAATAGCTGGGATTGGTCAATGACGTCTAGTAAACTATTCCGGAGCCATTAAAAAAAAACGCCAATAGAATTGTTTCAAATGTGAGAAACATCGATGTATCGACCGAATGGGAGTGTCTCGTTTGACCACGTTGCGATTGACCACAGCCAATTATATCGACCTGTGCCTAGGGTAACCAGCAACGATTAACCAACCAGGGAGTTCTATTTTGAATTGGCCAATTGGCGACGTGGTCAATCGGGTGCCACCCGACCGAATGTATGCCTATCGATATTCTATGGCTTGAAATAATTGTGTTGCATAAATGACAAATAACAAATAGAAATGAAAAATAAATAATTCAATTATTTCGCTGTTAAAATTTATAAATAAAACATTTCCTGAATGATATATATATGAATCGCTTTTTTATTGCTGAATATTTGATGAGAAATGTTTTTAGTCCAGATGACATAAAATAAAAGGAGACAGAAATCCACTCAAGAATATATGCGTCTTTTTCTAATTTTGACTTTTATAAAATAGTGGATTTTGTTCTTTTCTTGCACCAACATTATTTTGGATTTAAACGAGACTTAAATATATGTCTATCTTTATCTTTCTTTCTAAATAAATAGAGGGCATTTTCCAGCTAGCGACACAGTGAATCATTTCATCCTTGTTTACATTCGGCAACCAACAAAGATGAAATGATAAGGTGCAATTTCATTGTCGCTAAAAAGTAGCGTCAACCATTGGTTAAACAATGAAGGTGCAATTTCATTGACGCTAAAAAGTAGCGTCAACCATTGGTTCTTTGTTCAACCAATGGTTGACGCTACTTTTTAGCGTCAATGAAATTGCACCTTGAAGCAACTACTTAAAGGTGCCTTTACATGGGAGCGTTTTAGCGTCGAGCGTTAAAGCGTCAAAAAGTGTGACATGCGCAGTGTGCCTAGTGATTTGTTGAAACGCTGGAGCAGTCAGTAAATCATCTAAATTGCGGAATATTATCAAATATTATCATTATTATCAATATTATCAATATTATCATTATTATCAAATATTATCAATAAAATGTCAGTTAATTATCGTTATCATCAATGATTACACAGGCCCACAAAAAAAAGTGAAGTTTAATGTCCATAAAAGAAACCATTGTATTCCTAAGTAATTTTTCCCGCTGAATCCGAATCTGAAATCGGTTTGACCGTATCACGTCAAGTTTAAGGTCATTTCAAGGTCAAATTGCGAAAAAATCACATGCGTAAAAGAACAATGTGTATGTCTATATTTTTGGGGTCGCTGAATTCGAATCCGTAGTCCGTTTGGTCCGACAAGGTTCAGATCAAAGTCAGTTCAAGGTCAAATGTATTAATTTTGCTTAAAATGAATTTTTGACTGCAGATTCTGAAAGAACGGAAAATTTTACGTTCACATATGTATTTTAATTTTTTTTTTTTTGTATCATAACATATCAAGACAAACAGCCACAACACTTATGATCTTTTGCTTTTTCTCACTCTTTTGTCTTCAAATGATCTGTGTACGGGAACACGGATGCGCACTCACATGCACATATTTACAAAAAAAGATGTACGCAAACGTACACAGACGTATACAAAAATGCGTGTATGCTTGAAAGAGCCAACGCAAGGCTGTACATATATTTCCATTAAGAAATCTCAATAATTCACTCACAGCACAGTGAGGACGATTGCGAGCCCGCTTGCTCGCCGAAACTCATCGCCGATACTCGGGTTCTGAATCCCTGGATCGTAACCGATTTCTGTGTGCCTACCATGACGGCAAAGTAAAGTCTTCATATCTGCCGAATTTATCTCTGAGGTACACCGATTTACTTGCAGTTTTTATGATTTTAGTGGTAGTCATCTGGTGGTCGACTACCAAACTTACACTTGGAACACTTCCCGAGTAGTAACTTAACTTATTTCCTATGATGAAAAGAGAAAGTACTGTGGATGGAAAGAAGAGAAAGCGAAATCCACTACACAGATCATTTGAAGACAAAAGAGTGAGAAAAAGCAAAAGATCATAAGTGTTGTGGCTGTTTGTCTTGATATATTATGATACAAAAAAAAAAATTAAAATACATATGTGAACGTAAAATTTTCCGTTCTTTCAGATTCTGCAGTCAAAAATTCATTTTAAGCAAAATTAACACATTTGACCTTGAACTGACCTTGATCTGAACCTTGTCGGACCAAACGGACTACGGATTCGAATTCAGCGACCCCAAAAATATAGACATACACATTGTTCTTTTACGCATGCGATTTTTTCGCAATTTGACCTTGAAATGACCTTAAACTCGACGTGATACGGTCAAACCGATTTCAGATTCGGATTCAGCGGGAAAAATTACTTAGGAATACAATGGTTTCTTTTATGGACATTAAACTTCACTTTTTTTTGTGGGCCTGTGTTATTAGAATGCAGCAGCATTATTAATCATGAATATAAGAAACAAAAAAAAGTTACGTGCACACTCCACACGTTATATCCTATACAAAGAATACATTGTAATAAATAATATTCATGTTGTATTTAGAAAACATATATTTATGCCAATTATTCCTTCTGTTTGGTTATGTTGTAATATGCTACTAATCGCGCAATTCTATAATATATATTGTATAATGATATCTATTATATCTATTATATCTATTATATTTATTATATATTATATATATTAATACATTTTCTATTAAGAATATACAATCTACTTACCTCTACCGTATTTATTAAAATTTTGTTACTAGACATTGTTTTAGCGGTTTTAGCGTCAAGATGCTGGAATCTGCCTGTTCAGAATTATGCGCAAGGGTGCTGCGCACGTGTTTTTGACGCTCGACGCTTGACGCTAAACGCTTCCATCTAAAGACGCCTTAAGGTGCGGCCTCATTGACGCTAAAAAGTAGCGTCAACCATTGGTTGAACAAAGAGGTAAGTATACTTACCTCTTTGTTCAACCAATGGTTGACGCTACTTTTTAGCGTCAATGAGGCCGCACCTTTACTTCTTTGTTCAACCAATGGTTGACGCTACTTTTTAGCGTCAATGAAATTGCACCTATACACTGTCCTCTGTATCGCTAGCTGAAAAACGCCCAGAGACAGTCGCATACTTAAGTTTCACTCGAGGCAAAAATAATAAATATATTATAGAGTTCAATACGAAATGAAATTGTTCAAGCGTATCTCATGACATCACACGTCACACGTGGTACATACGATGCCATCTATGCTTGCACACGTACACATATGCGTATAACACTAGTTCGACGTATACGTGATTAGCGGCCAATGTCGCCATGATTTATTTGGCTTGACATCCGTGATACGACGTTTCGTCGCGATGCTTCCACCTTCCGATGGCGTTCATTGACGGCGGTTATGAGAATTGCGGAAAGGAACGAGCGAGGAGATTGTTCGCGATGCGAGATCAGTGTTCTCGTCGTGAGCATGGGCGTCTAATACGCGTGACAGTGTTATCGGTGTACATACCTGTATATAACGTAGATTTTTCATTTCCCCGCAATGCGTACCTGATTTAATTAGCACGCTTGATCGCTGTATGCTTGTCAAATCCACGTCGAAATATACGCGCGATGTCCTCTCTGCGGAAGAAGGCGAACAAAAAGTCAATGACCAGGAAAAGCGAAAGCCTTGTAGGAGGTTAAGTACGCTCTTATTACGTATATATGCGTATTATACGCATTTAAGTAAATCCATATATCGTTGCAAAATTAACGTCAGATAATGAGCGATAAATAACACTTTATGATACATTATGATACATTATACACGGCTGTAAATTGTAAACGCATTTATTCATATTAATTAAATAAAATTTGGTAAAATTATGTAAAGGATATGTCATATATATGCATGTAAATATTAATTTATATATATTATGAAATTTTGAAACAGGAGCCGGATAAATGTTTAACACGAAAGTAATTTATGAAATTAATTTTTGAAAATTCACTTTTATCTTTTATCAGGAAATTTATCAGAGTATAAATAATATTTATAGTTAGATTCAATGATATAGTAGTATAATTATTCAGAACAAGGACTATTCTGTTGATTAAAAAATTAGAATTTATTCTATTTATAAATAAATTACTTTATATATAAATATATCACAGGTTTATAATTTTGTATTTATAATTATTTTAATATTTGACAGCGTAGATGTGACCATTGATGACTTTGCTAATACTTTACGAATTCGTGCAAGACTCAAGAAATCGATTACAAATGTCTCCAATGAAGGTTAGAGAACAATCTGATTTATTTTTTATCTCTACACTATTGTTGAGAAAAAGCATACATATAAAGATTATAGCTATTTGAAATTAATCTCAGTATATTGCATTCTCTTGCTTCTCCAATATGATAAACATATATTTATTTTATTACATAAATTTTATTTAGTGAAACAAGAAGCAACGATACAATTGGAAAAATCTACATGGGACAATATGGACGAGGAGAATTTATTGCAAGATAATCTAATAGAAAGCGATCACAAAGGTGAGTATAATAAATGTGATAAGTGTGTTACAATAAATGCATATAGTAAATTACATTAATTTTTTTTTTAGCTGTGTCTGGTAATGCAAGAAGGAATAGAAGAAAGTTAAAATGTCAAGAGGCTAAAGATAAAGAGGAAGGTAAATAAAATATTTTGTAATACTAAAAAAAAGAGAATTTCTGAGACATGAATATGAATATATATACATCATTTGCAATATATAAAATATGAGATATAATATTTTACATGATAAATTTTCAATAAATATAAATTTCATCTTTGTAACAAAAATTTTATTTGTTGAAAAGGGATTGATTATCCATTGGACATATGGTTTATTATCTCAGAATATATACGACCTGAAGCAGTAGGAAAGTTTGCACGGATTTGCAAAAGTTCTCGCTATGTTACCACCACTGCAAAATTTTGGTTTCATTTATATAAATCGTAAGTTTTTTTTATTATCTACCATTTTATAACATTGAATTAATCGTATTATTTATCACATGCAATATTAATACATATGTAATATATTTAATATTTGATATTTGATATTTATTTAATATACTTGATTTAATTATAATTACGTTAATATGATTTAATTATAATTACGTTAAAATGTAGCAGTATATTATGCAACAATATAATGATTACTCTTTGCTATTTTAGATATTACAAATTTGTACCAAATTTACCTGAACATTTGCAGCCACAATGTATGAGATTACATGGATTAAGAGCTTATGTTATCAGGGCATTACATTACAGTTATTTTACATCATTGTTGCAACGGGAAGTAGACAATATGTCTTATTTACGACAAGAGGAACCACATTCTCTCGTGAAAAGAAAATGCATTCTTATGTGGCACAAAGTAAGTTGTGAATAATTCTCAAGTCACACTTATTCTCTAAGTAAATGTCGTATTTTTCGTACGTATTTTTTTACATGTATCTTTAATTATTAAGTTTTTAAATATTTTTAATTATTAATTTTGTAACTATATTGGATTTAGTTCTTTTTACTTTCCACTTTGTAATAAATTTAAACATTCAGGAAGGAAAAGTACGATGGTATTTCTACTTTAAACTGAAGGAAATTTCCAAAACACGTAATAATCCATTAAAACAAAATATACAACAATGTGATACTGAATTTCTCGAAATGTTGGAAGATGTGGCCGTTAATCCTGAAGAGGGTTGCAAAGTGCTTAGGGTGTGTGGCATTGTAAAATTTATATTTGTACTATAAAATCTCGAATAGAAAATATTTTTTATTCGTAATAATATAATAACTAAGTATTTTTTATTCATAATATAATTTTAATATATTTAACAATTTATAGGTAACTTGCTTAAAATATAGTATGTTACCGCCGGTAATTGGATTAGTTTTACAAACAGTGTCTATGAATTTAATGCCTGGCTTTAGAGAACACCGACTTCAACTTGGATTCGGAACGTCGGATGTTCCTAGTACATTAACGAACCAAGTAATACTTCGTGATGTTACCGAATACCGCATCTTAGATTGGTGGGATCCCACCTATCCTCATCAGGACGCGAATTACACAATCGAATTATTGACAAGTGACTCTTGGGATTAGAGCTTATTGTACAGATTGTTCTTATATTTTGTGTATGGAAAAATAGAGAAACTTTTAAATTTTGTAAGACAAATATATCTCAACATGATGAATGCAAAACAGTTCAAATTGACATCTTTTCTCTTCCCTAATACGTTATTTACGTAAATAATTTTATTATTATAACAATGATACAAGAAACAAATAATGCAAAAATCACATAAAACTTTTTATATATATAATGTAGGGAAAATAGTTACTAAATAGGGATAAAATGAAGTCTTTTTAGAAATATAAATAATAAATATTCAATCAATTAAAACTTGATTATAACAGTTCAGATTTGAGACATCTTGACTTTAAAACTTTCACGCTTAGAGAGATTTATAATTTATGAAATAACAAGATATTTAAGTCATTGTTGATCAGCATATTTTGATACAATTAAATTATTATGAAAATCTTATTTCTTAACAGCTGCTTCTACAGCATCCATCAATTCTTGCAAATGATGTATGTTGGTTATCGAGATATTAAGATCTTTGATCTAAAAGATCAAATGAGACATGGAAATTTATTTTAACAAAAATGTGGGCATATATTTATGATTTCCTTACCATGTTTGCATATCCATCCACATCCACCTTAAGTTGAATACGTATCTTCTCGTCGTCGCTAATACCCTGTGATTCTGAAGGCAGAATTCCAGTAGATTTATCACGAATCTTTTTCAATCTTCGTAAACTTTCTTCAGTCTTTTGTACAGACGTCAATACATCAGTAACAAATAACAAATAGCTAAAATAAAAATTAATATTAATATTGTACCATTCAATATTTTTGTTTATATAAATTATAGTTTATATGTATATAGTTTTTACATCTTTCCAAATCTATTCCACAATATTATATTAAAATAATTTATTATTATTTACCTTTCCGTTAGTGAAGACAAAGTTAACTCCAACCAAAGAATAACAATTTCAGGAATGATTTTGTTATAATCTATATGGAAATTAGTAAGTGGAACTATTGCACTCTTTACATAAGAACAAGGTTTAGTTGGCACATCTCGCTTTGTCCTTCTAAACAATCTAGGAATGTCACTAACTTGTTTCAAATATGTTACACATTGCTCTGAAAGCTCATTCACGATTTCTTTTGTAACTAAAGGCAACAAATTTGCTAAATTTTTGGCTGTTTCACCTAGAGAATCTGTAATACATATAAATTGATAAAATCAATTAAATAATTATAATATTTTATGATATATCATTTTTCACGTATTTGTTATGCAATATTATACCTTCTAATAATTTTGATATAGTAACATTATCATTTTTAATTTTTGATTGCACCATTTGTAGAAAAGATGGCAATGCATTTATCAGTTTATTTATATCAGTGTACAGATATACTAGAAAATTTAATCTTGTAGAATGCTCTGAGTCATTTGAATTGTTGGTTTCATTTATTATTGGCCATACCTTTAATTAAAATAAAGTTGGAGTTATTTTTTCTATATATATTTTTTTTATCTAATTCTCAATTTGCATTATAAAAATCGTCAAATATATAAATATTAATAAAATATAAAATAAATGTATAAAGAAACTTACTTGTTTCATTGCACTTTGACACCAAGTTTGATACCTTGAGCATATTTGAAGACTGAGTTTCCAAAACCTAGTAATAATAACAATGCATTAGTTTTATAAGAAAACATTTTAAGATTGCAATAAAAAAATTATTATTACAAAGAAATACTCACTTGTGGAATAATTGATATAAATAAATATTTTCTGCCCAAATCCTTAGCAGATTATCCCAAACCACATTAGTCGCATGAAGCGAAAAATTTTCTTGTGCCAAGGAAATCAAACTACCTGTGATTGAATCTGGTGACACTGGCTCAACTAATACTGTCTCTACGTGACCAGCTATCTCTTGAAATCGAATTTGAAAATATACTGGCAAATTCCATTTCTTAAGAAAACTTTTATACTGTGGATGATTCCTCAATGTCATTAAGATTTCAGATGTAATGCACTCTGCTTCCAACTTTGTTAAAAATTCCAATGTAGCTGTATATCTCTAAAATTTTTGCAGAAACTTGAAACATCTTTTTTTATCTTTTTAAATATTTTTAATATATCTTTTTGTATTTTAAATTATAGTAATTTTTATATATTTCCAAATTATTAGTTTTACTTACTTTATGAAATAACACTGGATCTCCTGGAGCAAAAATAGACTTTATATATTGCTCAATCTTTTCTTCAACTTCGGCCCAAAAGCTATTTACTAGAAAATTAAATCCTTTCACAGATATTCTGCAACAATTTATTAAGAAAATTTATGTATTTATAAATATAAATTAATGATATATTGAACCATATAAACAATATAAATACCTTTCAGGATGTAATGTGATATCTAATAATTGTTTTAATTCCACATTTAAAATATTTAATAATTTATGATAAATACTTTGCAGACCAAGTGGATCAGATTGAAGATTCTCCTCATTAACAATATTGTAAATTAATGGCCTTACAAGTTCATGCCTTACCAATTCTTCAGCATTTGTTATTTTATCAAGGGTAAGATAAATTCTGAGGCAACGGATTGCCAAATTTGAATTCTTTTCATGTATGCATGCTAAGAATAACTCATTCAAACAATTTAGATACAAGTTTTCCAATTCTATACTTTCCTATTGTGAAATAATGATTTTAAAGTGATTAAGTTGATTCATTTGGGGCACTTAATTGCCATTTTTTTCTACAAAAAATACATACTTTTCCTTGATCAATTGAAATGTCCAATTTACATCTAGACATGTGAAATTTTAACTGATTCAATTCGATTGCAGCTTGCTCCAAAATGTCGATTTTTGTAGGATTTTCCATGAATGTTTTCATAGACAATATAGAAGAAAGCTTCTTGAGTGACTTGTATACATGTTGTAAACTATACAAACTTTGTTTACGTTCTCTTATCTTCAAATTGTTGTTTAAATTAGTTGAAATGGATACAATTTCATCATCCAAAGCTTGTCGTACTTGCTGCCAATAAAAAAAATCGATTGCATATTGTAATTTCATATTGCAGCTATATATAAAATAAAATTTTTATAATTATCTTACTGTAGAACACATTTTATTAAATTTTTAATCTTATATTTTTTCCAAATATAATTTTCCATTTTACCATAACTTCTTCTCTCAATTGTCCAAGTGGCGCTTGCAAATCATTGATGGCTTTATCCAGCCCGATTAAATTACTGGATAGATTTACAAAATCCGTATAATCCCTATTAATTAAATCAATCATAGCAGATCTCAGTAATTTCAAGTATACACCAAGATCGTCACGCATTGTCTCCAGTTTATCATTTTTTCTGTGATCTTGTAAAAAATTATCTACATCAAAATTATCCTATAAACAGAGTATAAAGACATAATAAAAAAGAATATTAATATCTATCTCTTCCAAAACTATATATAAAAGTAAAAAACTTTGACAAACCTGTATAAAATCAAGCTCAGAGAAACATAAATCCTTTGGTGCTTTTGGCAAAGTGGCATTATTTATAGACATAATTATATATATTTATGTATTTGCAGTCGAATAATAAATTCCTTTCGTTTCTCAATATTCCAAGATTTGTCGTCAATTCTTATTGTGACGTGCAACACTTGACATCTCGATTAAGGCCTGATCCATATAATACCACAGTATAAGGCTGCGTTCCGAAATAAACTGAAAATCAATAGTATACGTGACGTAAACTGATTGGTTAATCTATTTTACCATATGAGTAAAATTTTTGAACACATTCGACGCATCGAAGATTGAATCGTTTGGGATTAATACCAATCAAAATTTTGTCCAGTAATCACATGTTTTCTCACAATTCCCCACCTGTGGACACTGTGGGTCTGTCCTTTTCAGCTGTACTGCTGCACTAGTGCAATAAGTTAGAAAGAGACAAACATACTTTCTTTCACTCTAACTAATTGCACTAGTGCAGCAGTGCAGCTGAAAAGAACAGACCGTGTGTAAACAGTTTTTTCTTAACCTAAGATAAAGCGCAGAAAAACAAAACGATTTATTTGATTTATTAGACAGTTTTCTTCGAATTTTCCCAAAGACTGAGTAAATTTATCGATCGGAGATATCCGGAAGATTTCTTTTCGAGAAACGCCTGCGATAAATAAAAATGAGCGTAAACGAAGATTGGGATGTGGAACAACACAAAGTGGAATACGAATCCGACGAACACTGGGAATTGAGACGTAATTTCTTGTTGGCTCACAAAAACAAGTTCTCGGAAGATGCGCTTGTTTGTTTAGCTCAAGTCTTTGTTAACGTTGAACTATTAGGATGCAGGTATAGATACCAATACTGTTTGTGTTTCACCGCGATATTTAATAAACTGCTGTATATTTGTCTCTTTAGAGTAGAATATATCACAGTATAAATTTAATTAGAAATATATAAAAATATCACAATATAAATTTAGAATCCAAATTTTGCATCTTATATGTATGTATATATATATATATATATATATATATATATATATATATATATAAATTTCTTAGATATCCACAAGAAACAATGGATTTAGTAAAAGAATTATCAGAGAATATCGCAGCAAAGTATAGAGAAAAGCAAAAGAAAAAGTTACAAAGAACATTTGTGGAAGCTTCACAAGCAGCTAGCTCTAAGGTTAAAGGTATAAAAAAAAATTGTGAGTTGTACCATTTTTTTTTAATCTTTCCAATGTTCTATTATTTACAGTATATTTTATGTGTTATATTTAAGGGAACTTTTTATATGTTTATATAATGCATATATCTTGACAAATGCATAACTATGTTTCATAATGGGTATAATAATCTTGAATTTTTGTTTTTTATGTAGGATGCGTTGCTAGTACATCTACTGTCACAGAAGAACGTATATTAAGTACACCTAATAATATATCAAATACAACCAAGCATATAGATCAACTTCATCAAAACTGTAACTCCAAAAAGAGATCATTTCGTAATATAAATAAATCAGGAAAATTAAGTACAACCAATTGCAACTATGAATCTTGCGAAAAATCTAATATCAAAAGGTCATTTCCTAAAAAATTAAAAACAGAGAAAAATATACTGAGAGATAATCCATATAGAGATATTATTTTATGGGAAAGATCAGATGACATACCACAAAGTACACTAGGAAATTCAGCCAGTATATCTGGTGTTAACCTTGACTGGAAATATTCTATGACGGAAGGAATCTGGTGAGGTTTCTTGTAATAAAGAAATTGCTAAGATATGGTAATTAAAATTTGTAAATTTATAGTCGCAAACACATCATAAGATATTTCTTGATTTCTATTTTAGGGAATGTTCCATTTACATCAATTCAAAAAAAGTTGCATGTTACACCAATTCCAATAAAAAAACTGCCAAAAATGAAGCAGCCATTGCTGCATTAAACGAATTACGAAAGCATTGCTATACTATTAAGGTAAAGGATAAAATGTACTTAACTAAAATTAACTTAAGGATAAAATGAAATTTACTGGAATATAGAGATATTTATGAATATATGTTACATATTTTCGTGTTGTTTATATATTTATTCTATAATAAATAATGATTAGAAATAATAGAATATGAAACATTTTTAAATATCTAACATTTTAAAATGTCATTAAATTTTATACATTTTAAAATTCAGGTTAAACAAAACTTAGACTCTAAATCGAACGTAACTGTAACGACAAAAGAAATGAAGCCGCAAGAATGCATGCCTGACAACGATTGGAAAGCATCCAGTAGTTGTATCGGAGAAGAGTTAATGAGAAGAATGGGTTGGACTGGTGGTGGTCTCGGAAAATCGGAGCAGGGTGTTATAGAACCCATGTCTGCAATGTTAGTATACACATGTGTAACAATACTTCAGATGGCAATACACATGTGTAACAATACTTCATGGCAAACAACAGTCACGGTCACTATTAACACATAATAGAATGCAGAGAATATCCTTTATTAATTTCTAGAAAAATTTTACATTTTTTATTGCTTTTTCTTTTTTTATTTTTACACATATTTAATATCTTTTATTTTTAGAGTAAAACCACAAATAAGCCGAAAAGGTCTCGGCTTGAAATCCAATTCGTGCACAGCGAACGAAATGAAAGCGAAATGTCGGAATTTGTTTAAAGATTTTTTGCAGACCGATATGCAAAACGATATTGTGTTCTTAGATTTTACCAATGAGGAAAGATCGGTGATCCATCAGTATGTATAGCTTAAGTTACATGAAAATTCGCAAAAAGCTTTACTTAAGAGAGGAAGTTTTTGATATAAAAAGATTTTAATTTATTCCAGAATTGCACGAACAATGGGCCTTAAATCGCGTAGCTACGGTTCTACAGATCAACGGAAACTGATAGTTTCGCGTAAAATCGATGTACGAACTTTAGTTAGAGAATTAAAGAGCCTCGGTGGAATCACTGAAAAGTACGAATTAATGGAACCGACTGACGAAAAATTCATCTCGTCCACTTCAATGGACAGTTGAGCGAAATATTGTTTTATGTTTAAATAATATCTTCTGTGACATACTGATGTAGCAACTTGGACTGTTAAATAAATAGAGAATTTTTTCAGAAGTCTTTCTGAAAAATTAATATTTTATTAATATTTAATTAATATTTAAATAATCCAAAAACAAGCTATTTTTTAAGTAATCGCTTCAATCGATACTCTTAGCACACGATCCGAAATATCGCGATTCGTTCAACTACTATTCACAAATACATTTGTGCCGAATAAAAAGCAAATGCATGTATACAGATCAGAATCCCGCACATTATACATTGCTGATAAAATAGTATAAATAAATCCATAAATGCAAGATATAGTGAAACGTAATCTTTTTAAATAGTCGATACACAGGCGCTAAGTATCTGCAAAGATTCGTGACTATTCGTATATCTAGCTTGAATAATATTAATGCAATATACATTACATTCGCACGCACAATGAAATCATGATGCATGTGGCATGGTGTTTATATATAATTTGAAGTCTAACAGTTAAAACTGAAGAAATGTTTCGCTTTATTAATAGTCACTATCGCGCGACAAAATATTTAAGAACGCTGTATTCAATAAATAGAAAAAGAGTACATAAAAGATTGAACAAGCAGAAAAGGGGAAGAATTAATTACTTATTACAGTATAACGTCGCAATTTGCCGTATAATAAGAAAACACTTTGGCAGTAGAACAATTAAAAAATCAAAAAGTAACGTATATATATATGTGTATATGTATAGATAATATGACAGTGCGTGACACATTTTAATATATTATCACATGATTAAATCTCGACAATTAAAGTGGTCATTTTTATACGTATATGTCTTGTATCTATACATATGTTATATATATATATATATATATATATATATATATATGTATATATATATATATATATATATATATATATATATAAAATATGTGTTGATACACGCTGCGTATATTATTCCATCAGTTTGAAATGACAAGGTTGAAGATTTTACACACTGTATATAATATTACTTATATAATATTACTTTAGTTTATTGATTAACTTAACTTTAAGAGAGCGCAATGTGTATATAATAATTATATAACGCAAAATACGCACATATTATAAGTCATAAGACTAATAAAACAATAACGAATAAAACAATATATACAATATGTATACATATATGTGTATGTATAATCGCATATACATACTTGCAAAAAAACCACATATCCTTCTCACATTAATCAATTAATCGTGCGATTATTGCGCGCGCGCATAATTTCCGAGTGAGATATTTTCGCAAGAGCAGCTGTCGCAACATTTCGATACAGTTTCCAAGAAATGACAGGGAAGAATTTTCCATTTAATTATTTTCTCTCCCGTTAATATATAATTTCCAGGTTTTATTATACTTTATATTATATTACTTTTTTGTAGAGAGAATGTTTCAATAAATCAAGTATGAGGAGACTTTAATTTGTCAAATTGGAAATTGGGTCAATTACATATGGCGTAGAATCTACGTATACTTTCAAATGTGGTGCACAGTTAAATAATTACGTTATGGAATTATATTATTAGATATTCCAGTATTCTCGATATAAATTATACATTCTACGCATACAGATTAATATCGTCGTATCCTCGTATAAGACAAGGAAATATAACATGTTATAATCTCTATATGCAATACAAAAAAAATCATGTTTTTGCATTTCTTTTATAATCCAGCTGTCGATATTTGTTTTTGAACTTTTTGTTAGGATAATAATGTTAAAAAGATACATAGTAAGATAACAAACAACAATATATATTTATTAACCGAAATGCTATGGACGGATCGACGATTTTTTTCTGGAACGATTAAAATATTATTTTAATTGTAATTGTTGCTTTTTAAATTAAGATTAAGTAAACGGTCTATACACAAAAAGCTTCAACAAGATTAATTTTGATTAAATGAACTTAAAATTGCTATTCTTAAGAAATAATATATATTTTAAAATTAATTAAAATAAAATAAAATCTAATTACTTCATAATAAAAGTATTAATTTTTATAAATACTTGCTAATTATTTGCTTTAAAAAAAAGGCATATATCGCTAGACATATATTGGCTAAATATATTTAATTAAATTACGAGAAACTCAGGATATTATTAATATAAAGATTGATGAAGAAGTTCTTATATAAATATAAGAATAGAAAATAATTAGAAAATCTGAATAACAATTGTTTTTTTGAAACACATCCGCAATAAAAATTTAATATAGATTTATAGAATAAATTTCTATTAATTTTTCTCGCTCACAGTATCAGAAAAATTACAAAATCATCAAAATTTTGTAATTCATCTTTGTTTATTCTTCATAAGAAAGAGAATGTAAACAAAAGTGTGAAAATATAAATGAAATAAATAAAGAATAGCAGAAGAAAAAGAGTACGACCTCTTATCATTCCAAGACGATGGATAACGCGCCTTCGAAAAATGGTATATTTACGTATATGTATATCAGAGGTTGCATTGTGTCGGAATTCCGGTCTGCTTTTCTCGGAAGGGAGAAATAGATTTGACCTTATAACTTACGATTCGAAATTGGGGCCAAAGAGTCAAGGCACGAAGCGGAGAGGCGGAGAGAGTGAGAGTGAAAGAGAGAAAGAACTACAGAGAGAGAGAAAGAGAGAGAGAGAGAAGTATCGCGGCGCGCCATGACCCCTCGGCCTGATATTCCGCTCGATTGTTCACTAACACATACAAGTTCCCTCGGATTTTGCCCTCGGTCCAGGCCCTACTTTGGACCGTAATTGACATCTGGAGGGAATATTACACTTTTTTTCTTCTTTATATACCAAAATATTATCTACCATCTGATAAAAGTGATTTCTTTGTTGATATGTATTTTCGCTATGTATATATAGTATATATATCTTTAAATTCGCTTACATTATATTAATTAGAAGATATGTCTTAATTATTTTCTATTAGAAGATACGCTTAAGAAATAAATACGTCATTAATCATCTCGACGGCTATTCTCTCGAGGTAAATAAAGCCTCGTCAGACTCGCACCCGTCTGCCATTTCTCGATTGTCACGAATGGTAAAATTTTATAAGTATATATATATATATAAATTTATAACTCGTAATGTATACGTGTTAATTTACTCTCTTCAAAGTGAAAGAAAAGCGCGACGGAAAGCGCTACCTCGAGAGAATCTGCGGTACATTGTTATACTTTATTATATATAATATATATATTTTTTTAATATATATATATAATTTTTATTGATATGTATGTGTATTGATATGTATCGTGTTGCCGTAATGAAAATATCAATAATCGTTAGCATTATATATATAATATATATCTTGCTTTGTTTCCTGTAGTGAATAAAATACGCGTCATACCCTGAAAGAACGCGACGCGATGCTCCATATTTCTTCTTTTGTACCCATTTTCTCTTTAAAACGCACACGTTCGACACTGTCGTGTGATTTTACGTTACGACTACGTGACGTTCGATTGCACTGAGAAAAATTAAGAGCATCTAAATCCTTAGATTCGAAAGATGATATTTTCACCGCATGTTTGACACATTAAATACTACTTGCGTCATTTCGTCTTACACTCGAATGCCACCTTGATCAAGGCAAAAATTTCACCCGTCAAATGCGGTGAAAATATAAATCGAAGAGTTTCTCGATATGACATTTATCTATGCTATAATTTTATTTCTTTTTATATACTTGATATGTTATAGAGTTGCGTCGTGAAACTTATCGCGAATAGAAGCGATTTTTGCGATAATAAAGCTAAGTTAAAAAATATACACATAAAGAGAGAACATCGACTTAAATCAATATACTGTTCCAGCAGTAATCGTCTAAATTCGAATAAAATCGTCTATCATCTCTTAATACATACTACTCTATAATTAATATAACAAAAAATTCACAGCATGTTCGTTTGGTTTAAAAGTACGTTAGAAAGGTATCTCGAGAGAATAATAATCGTTGCGTGAAATTTCTTTACGATGCGCAGAAATAACTGTAAGAATATATATAAATCTCTAAGTGCGACTTCTCCCCCGCTCTCGCCTCTCTAGCTCACCATCAAGAAACGCAACTTCAATAACAATACACAGAGAAAAATATCATTCTACTGTCAAGAAAAGCGATTACTCAGTTTATTTTTCTTTTTTAAATTTAAGTAATAGTTTTTTTCAACAAGAATATATTCTTAATAATAGTTTTAAAATACTTATCACAAGTGTTAAAAAAATCTCATTGTCATGAATAAAACACTTATCACAAGTGTTAAAAAAATCTCATTGTCATGTACTCAAAAGAAGAATTTATTTTCTCTTTAAAAATATTGTAAAGTTGTGTCAAAAAAAATCGAACTTATTTTATATATTAAGCAAACCAAATTTATGTTTTAATTTAATATCCTTGATTAAAATACCGCAATTACTAAAATTCAGAATATATTCAATTAAATTTAATGTGGTGAATTTATGATATATTTGCAGATATAAACTTATGATATATACTTAAAATAAATAATATTTACTTGAATGCAGTATACATTTTTCTCTGTGTAGGTTCGATAGTTGTGTAATTTTTAAAAAATAACTATATTAAATTATATACAATGAGCTATTATAACATTGGATTTCTAAAGAATTTATTCTATTAAGAATTTTGTTCCACATAATCTTCTTCAAAGAAGAGTGATGCAATTTTCATAAAAAACCACTTTGCCATCTCTGAACGCAATTATTTTCCTCTTACAAAGTTTCTTCTGTGAAATTTAAAGATGGCAATCTCGTCGCAAATGTTTCAGAAGCGGCTTATTAAATTTCAGAAGATTACATTAATAAATGGGATTAAATTTAGACAAGAAACTTTTCTACTAATTCATTAATATTTCAAGTGATAATTTTGGAAAGAGAAAAGAAGAGCTGTATATAACGTGACTTGTGTAAATTTTAAGTAATTTAAATGTACAATAAATTAAATAATTATATGGCTACCAATCACGAACGATTCGCCACACATCACTTATGTAAGATGATGTATGTGCTAGCAATATCGAAGATAAAGTTAGAATAAAACCGGGGCATACAGCAGCACATATGCATCAGTTATAGTGTAGTCGTTATAAACAACATGAGGAAGCTCAATATTTTAAAAATAGGTCAACTGAAAGAGAGCTTATTATTCGGTTTATATGAAAAAAATTACGTTGCGCAACCAATAATAAAAGAAGAGAGTAAACGTTAAAAGCTTCCGAAACATTCACGAAAATTTTAACACGTGATATTATTATTAATAATGTAGAAAACAGTAGAAAAAAGGTAAGATAAAAATATTGCAAATTGTAAATAAGTTAACATAGTATTTTTTCAGTGCTGGTATTTTCATGCAGATTTGCGTAAAATTGCAATACTCAACACTAATAAAAAATCGCAATGATAAACCCTCCATAAGCGTACACGATATGACGATTGGTTACTAACCATGTCTCTTAATAATTATATTCTTTCCTAAACAAATTGATAATAACGCGATTATAACGCGAGTATAACAAGATTAGAGTTATCTATGATTGCCATACAAAATATGCGAAACGAAGATCTGCCTGATCGCTCGTCACGCAAATCATCTCGATGATCATCTCGATGCTCGGTGATTGCGTTCATCACGTTGAAGCAAGAGCAGAGGATTCGCGAGAGAAATAGGGGAAGAAAGAAAAGTAACGGTCTACATTCTGCATGCGAGAACTCGTGAAAAAAAGAGGTGTTCACGAAAAGAACGAGATTTAGGCTTCATCAAACAAAGGGTCTGCTGATGCGACGACAACGGCGGCGACTCGTCATCGACGGTGGCGGATGTGATTGTCGTTCAATCGAGAAAGCCCGTTTTAACGAGCTTCTCAAGGAAGAATTTGACGTCGCCCAGCTCGGAGTCCTTGATACCGATCGATTTCAGCATACCCAAGTCGCCGTTCTCCACTGCCATGAAGACTGAGCGCAGATGCTCGAGATCCGAGCGCATCAGGTGCAACGCTGCGCCAAAATCCTCGATCGTTTGCGATTCTGACGGCCGAAATAGATTGTTAAAAACCAGATTGCAAAACTAAATAGCAAATTCGAGAGTAAAATAATAATAAAAGAAATGAGGACACGAGTTTTTCTGGACATAAGCTCGGAAAGTTTGTGTATATCTGATTTGTCATACGATTTAAACGAAGTGTATTAAACCGATCATTAATTTTAATACGACGGTTCTTGCTTGTTTTAGATTTCTAATACATAGTCTAAATTTATATTATATTATTACCTTCATAACGACGTTAAGACTTAATGACGAAGAGCAAGTCGAATAATTTGATATCTTATTTGTACTAAACAAGTCTTGCGTTGTAAAATTCTTACTCTTATTTGACCTAATATTTTATTTAATTGCGAAAACTTACCAGACAGCGCGATGGCCACTTTTTCCACACCACCGAGAGGCTTCAGCGTATCACGCGCTTTATTTCCGAACAGCTTCTCCAAATAATTGGGACCGTGGCTTGCCAGCAGAGACTGCAGAAAAGTGGCGGTTTCTTCTACGGGTGGTCGTTTGGCTGCAACAGAGAAGTTAAATATAAAAAAAAGAATAAATAAACAATAAATAGAGTTAAAATAAATAGAGTTTTTACAATAACTTATCCTCATAAACATTGTAATTAAAATTAATATAATTTTCTTTACACCTCGGAAAAGAGACAAGGAAGCAATTATATCTTAATTAATCGATACTTACAAGACCGGTCCATAGAAAGAGAAAAGCAGGTGCGATAATAACTCTCGGTGTAAACGCACCGAACGAGTACAGTAATCCCCCCCTTATTATGATGTTCGGTGCAGCTGCACGGAACATCATCAGGTGCATCAATACCGAGCGGTAGTGTTTATACAACGAGATACATTGATATTGTGTTTGCAACATAATATAATGTTTACAACAATATAATGTTTATAATTTGTTGTTGTATAATTTGTAACATAATATGATGATCAGTATTTAAACAGAGATTATTTATATCTAAATTTATATTATTTATATTTAAAAAATTAAATATTAAAAATTAAATATTAAAAATATTTATATAAGTATATATTTAGTATTTTTATATAAATTATCTTTTATATACAACATAATATAATAGATATTTAGATTAAATCGCATAATAATTCTACGTGAAAAAATCACGAATGGAATGAATATACATATAAAGAAAAATCAGATATTGTTCATATTATTATTGGCACGAGCTAATTTATTTACTTTAACAAAAAATTGAATAAAAAAAGCTGCAAAAAAATTGAATAAAAAAATTTAACTTCTTATGCGTGTAATTAAATTGGCTTACTCATTGCTTAATATTGCGCATTGATTCAATTAAATTAATTATCTCACCTGCGGTACACAATCTGGAGTCCTCGTCGTATCCGTCTTGACAATCGGGTGCGCCGTCACAAAGATACTGTATCGAGATGCAGAGACCGTCGCCCGGACACTTGAAGGGTTCGTACGGGTGACAAGCATCTGAAAAGTATACACAGATAAAGGCATCTGGATCTGAGCAACGAGAGAAAAATCTAACGCATACATTTTCCGAGCAAAATCCGAGACGAAAATAGAAACGCGTGCGTATATACACGGGGTGATTTAATTACCCGCGGAAATGAAAGTTCAAAAGGGCGCGACATGTTCTCATCGGTGTCGCGCGATTAAATTACGACGACAAAGCTAGGGATCTCTGAAACGGAATAATGCGTTAGCACCCTTTTGCACGAGAAGCTTTCGAGATAATTGGAAGGACATGCAATCGCATTAAATTATAGAGATTAGGATCGATTAATGGTCATAATAAATCGTCACAATTTTACTCTTACATTTTTTTACAACTGGCCAAATCTTTTCATCAATTTTTTTTATATAAAAAAATTAATTTTCTCGTATTTCTTTCTATTTAATCAAAATAAAAAAAAAACGTGCACGTTTTAAAATAAAATTAGATTTCATGAAAGCTTTTCAAAAACGTAAACGTAAACGATCGTATGTCTCCTAAGGAAATAAAAGAGTCTTAAAGGGTCTTTTTCTTGGGAATCCTATTTCCGTGGAGGTCACAAGTACGGATATATTACATATAAAAAATCCAGCAAAAAGGAACTCTCATCTCTGATAATTTCAAGAGGGAATATATTCTGTAATATTACGTGAGACCTTTTTTTATCTCTTTGTATATACGTGTATACTATATATACGTATATACTATATATACGTATATCCTATTCAACGAAGTAAATATTGTAACGTTTAATTTTTAATATCCGTACATTTGTCTCTTAATTCGTATTTTTATTTAAAAAAAGAATCCTGTTTTATCGAAAAAAAGAAAATAATTTTTCATCTCAATTGCTGTGTTGATAAAAAAAAATGTCAATTGCATATGCTATCGCCAGCAGGTACTTAACAATCGATTGTGTAATATTGTGTCACATTTGTTATATATACATGATCGCCCACGCGATAATTTCAACGCACTGAAACGCAATTTGTAAAATACGAATGACGTCATACTCACTCAAAGCCCCTACGGTCAATTTTGTGTGTGTGTGACCGTATATTTGATTAATTCAATATCCCTCCACCAAACATAAAAACCTACATCGAACCGTCATATGTGCCGATGTAGCTCCATTTCAACGCTGTTAAATTATTCTGTGTGAATATATTACAAGAGTTTTTTTCTCAAATGTTTACATAAAACGCCTACGCATTCATAATCCGAAAAAATACTTTTTCAAAAATTTGTCGCATCAAACATATCAAAAAATGCTATTGCATTTTTTAGAAGCATTAAATATTCTCGACAGCACCAGAAAAATAAAAGATATTAAATTATGCAAGTATTTATAATTCTTTTCACGTGTTTAGATGAGACAGTTACGTACTTTAATAAGCGCTTAACAATATTACAGGTAAATATTTCAGCGATCAACAAGAAGCGTTGATTCCCCAGAGAGGATATATGTAGTCATTACTCCTATGGGATCAATTCTCGATGTTTATTTCGAATAAAATGGTCGTAGAGGGAATATTTAAAACAATTTATCACGTAAATATATACTTTTTACAGCTAACGAATATTTATGACGATAGATATGAGAAATTTTTAATATCGATGATTATCACATCGCTTAGACTTCCCCCTAGATGCATTTTATTTGAATAAGTAAATTTATTAATACTTTGTATCTTGTTTCTCAGTTTTTCACATTTGATACGAATTTCAATTAATGTTTTCTTTGATAAAAGCATGTCTGAATTTATTTTTCAGAGATGATTTGTATTTTGCTCTTTCAGTTACAATTATTTTGTTCAAAAATAAATAAAAGATAGAAAAATATAAAAAATATTTAAAATATTGCCTGAATTTTTCAAAATGAAATTTCTCTTCATTTTATTCCTTTTTTATTTTTAATTTTTCTTTTATTTTAATTAAAATAAATTTGCCGTAGAAAAAGAAACTCGATAATAAAAAAGTAAATAATTTATTTTTGATAAGATTCAAAAAATATATTTTTTATTTCTTATTTCTCATTTGATCACCGATAAAATGGTGAATTTCCGCAAATTAAAAATTCCAAAAAAATAGAGAAGGGTATAGATAAATATGAAAGATAAGAACTCTTTATCAGAACAGAATGTCGTATGAATCTTGACACGTTTGACTCGCTTCGCGACAATTCCGACCCTGGATGACAGGGACATTGAATAAAAAAAAACGCGTTTTTCTAAATGTCATCAGCGAATATAAATGCGACTATATACGACTCGGTATGCCAAGTACGCGCGTTATTGACCGTCCGTGTAACTATATCCGCCAGAGAGCACACTCCCACATGGTCGGGAGTTTCAGCGAAACATAGTTCTGTCATATAATCGTGCCCTCCGCACCCGTCAACTTTAATAGCTGTTAGGAGGAGCGTGATAACGCAAAAGGGACAATATCGTTTCCTAGAAGCTTCCTTTACTTCGTATCCCTATAAACGCCGTGCGTGGGCATGATATAAAATATTTATCCATTGAAGTATGTAAGCTAAAGCTTCTACATGACATATGCTTCTAACTCCTTTGCCTCATTTTATTTTTTTAAAATAATCTCTGACATGATCTTCAGTTAATCTCAAATGAACTTTACATAATTACAGAATTTTCATTTATAAAACGGTGTTTAGTTACATTAATAACGTAACGCTAAAAATTAAATTTTGCTATAAATAAATCTCCTTGATTTTCGCGAAAAAAATTATATCATCAAGAAATTATATTATTTAAATAATGATAAAGAGAAGTGAAACAGTCTATATATAATCTGGCAAGAGCGAAGAAATTAAACAGATTTATAAATAAGTTTTCTCTGTTAAAAAACTCAATTTATTTCATTTATATATCTATTTAATAATCTTGTTGTTTTCTCAATTAGAGAATTTCATAATCACGCAAGCTACAAATTAAATTTCTCATAATCTTACGTAAAACATTTCTGCAGTTACAATTACAGTAGTAGATATCATGTTTGAGTAGATAGGGATAAAGATATGGTACACATTCACGAGTCTTATATCTACAAGATACTATTTATATTATTTGTTTGTATGTATATCATTGATAATTACAATTTGTCGTTGTTAGAAAGCTGAGACGATTAAAGAAGCTTTGTTAAATACTAATATGATATGTACTATTGTAACTGTAGAAATGTTTTACGTAAGAGTATGAGAAAATTAATTTGTAGTTTGCGTGATTATAAAATTCTCTAATGTGTATTTCTAAAAATATATATATGTGTATATATATATATATATATATATATATATATATATATATTTTTTAGCATCATAGGCAGATTTTTCGTAAAATATTTTTGATGAAATTTTTATTTTAATTTTAGGCAAGATATTAAAATGAAAAGCTGGCATAAAAACATCTAAGAATAATTAATAAAAATTGATAATATTTGATCATTTCTTTTGTAACTTCATGTATATATAATATATATTGTAACGTTTATATATATAATAAAAAGATGAAAAATGAAATTTTATAAAAACATGCACATATTGATATATCGATTATATTAGTAAGACATAAAATAAACTATACAGAGATAGAAAGAAATATTTTCAAAGTATAAAATGTAAATTTTTCACATGAAATTGTATAAATTTTTTACGATAAAGAAAGATTATAATAGATGTTTATAAGTTTGGAAAATCTAATGTGTATGTGTGTATTTTATTTTCATTTAAACATTCTCTCTTTGCAAAAATAAAAATTTGCGTATTAAATTTCATTCGTAATTGAAGTTTCATCAAAATATTTCTGTCTATATAAATGTATTCCATTTCCATGTTTTTTAAAAAGGCAATTTTAAAGACCTATGTTTTTTTAAAAGATCTGATTTAAATTTTGTATTTATATCATTATATATGCGTGATTTCCCTTTCGCGCTCTCATCTAGAACTCTTTTGTCGCTAGCGCGGATCTCGGAGTCGTGCTTTTTCGAAGTCTGCGACGTCTGCGAGACTTCTACATGCCATCATCGTCGTCTCTGTGATGTCTCTCCTTTTCGTTCCTGCTGTCAATCTCATTGATGATCACTTACCCGAGCGTTTCGTGTTGATGTGGCCGTAGAAGCGGCTGAGGTCGATCGCCATGATGGCGCGCGGAAAAGCGGCGCAAGCCGTCAGGGCGATGCCAAGTGCAACCGCGCCGTTGCAGAATCTCCGTACCATACTCTCTCTTCACGGATGCTCGATGAGTGCTCGATGCGACTTCCGCTCCGACTTGCTGCTGGCGAGTCCCTGCGCGTGTCCGAATTCCCTTTTTCTCACCAGGACCTCTTCTTTCTAAGAAACTCTAAATTCCTCCTCGCGAACGCGAACGAAGAGGGTGATGTATCGTCACCCTGCGAGAATCACCTACTCGCTCGCTTGCCCGCTGGTACCTGTGCACCACCAAGGTTCGAGGTTCGTAACTCCTCGGGGAGGGTGGCTCGTGCAAGGTTCCTCGCCCCGAGAGGACTCCGCTTCGGTTATACGCGTGTGGGGATGAGAATGTTACGGCGGGGTCGCTCCCACCACTTGATCTCACCCTTTCTTCGGAATCTTTCCGAACAGGATTTCCCTCTTTCTTTCGCTCGCCAAGTCTCTCTCTCTCGAACTGTTTCCCCTTGGTCCGCTCACCCTTCCTGCTCTCGCCACTTCCTTTTTCTTCTTATGCCCGTAAGGGAAGAGACACCCCGCTGGCGCGTGACAGTGGGTGCACAGCCACACTGCGAACGCACCTGCTACGTACACTCGTCGAGCGGCAGATCTCACCTGAGGCGCTGGCTCATGGAGGGGGTGTATGTGGGAGGCCAGCCGGCCAATCGGGCAGCGCGAGATCGCGACTCTACCCTGGAACACCCACGCTCGCTCGGTCACATCGATTTCAACCTCTCATTATTCAATGGCGTAATGAAAGCTATGTGTATAAATCGACTATATTTTTACCTTTTCCGTCCCATGTTTTATCGTTTTATTAAATTTTAACGTAACTCGCCGCTATTTCTCTCTTTCTCGCTTCACAAGCAAAATGACATATGTTATCTTTATCCGATGTTCCGCAATTCGTCGTTATGCTCATATCACACAAGCGGCTCACGGCTGCGACTATGACTCAAAAAAAATAGGTCGAAAGCTAAATGGCAGTCGTCAGTCGCTGACCATTGCTTTCTGATTAGTTCTAAAATTTGTAATATTCTCGTTAACTAACTATTGCTCTATGATATTCAAAACTGATTTAAAAAATGAAAGACGAGCAAATACCACGTGTTTTCGAGAAAACTCTGATATTCAAATCATATGTTTATTCCTTCTGTCAAATAATTTGCGCGGCAATCACAAAAGGCGCTACTATCCACAAATTAGTTTGCGAATGCTGCCGGCTACAGCCGGCGCTCATCTTTGCGACTCACATCCTGGATGTGGGTTATAGCCGGCGTTAGAAGCGAAAGAGTTAAATAAATTATGAAATATTTTATAATATTTTAGCTTTTGCTGCATTTTCTACTTAAATATGTATATATATATATATAAAATATAAATTTATATATATATATATATATATATATATATATATAAATTTTTTAAATTTGGAAAATCTACATAATATAAAAGCAGCATTTTTTCATTATAATTTCTACAGAATGCATATTCAATTAAAGTTGTTGAAAATATAGAAAAGAAATATACCATGCATTTATCGCAATCACAAATTTATCAGAAACACTTCAAATAAACATTGAATACGGTGAAATAAACACTGCAAATAAACTCCAGATAAACAAATGTTGACATTAGTATTTACATTAATAAGAAATGTGACATATTATAACAAAACCGCGTCAAAACATAAATCGTTAATTGAACAATCTTTAAATATTGTGTATATTAAATATTGTCCTGACATGATGATAGATCAAATCGAAAATGGATTAATCCTCAGGGATCAATATGTTCCACATTTAATATAAAAAATTTTATGCAATGTAGATAGTGAAACACTATTAAGTTGTCAAGCGGTGCAATGCGAAACAATGGAAAGAAATGACAAAGAAATACAAAATTACATATGGCACAAAAAGACAAAACTAAAATTTGGGAAATTTGCATTCAATAAAAATATACCATGGAGTGCTTTATATCTGATCTGCAAAATGGATCCTTTATAGAGAAATTTAGTAAGAAATTCGTCCGGTAAACTTGGACATAAATATTGGAACAATTCTTTCATAAACTGGAAAAGAAAATTAATAATTGAAAAGTCTCCAATAGATATTTCACCAATACCTAATATCCTTGAAGGAGAAGAATCCACTTGTTTCGTCATCATGTTCTATGTCAAAGTACCAAGATATAGATCTCATTAAAAAGGACTGCATCCATATATTCTAGATAAGTTACAACCAGATATTATTGTGTGTTAATTCCCTAACAACACACATGTCCAAAAAATGTCCAGAGGTCATCGAGAGGGATACGGTCGATAAAAAAAATTGACATTTATGTACCGATCAATTTATTATACAGTCGATAATCTCCCGCATGATAAAAAGATTGACACACGAAATAAAACTCACCCTGTATATATAAATATATATATAAATATATATATATATATATATATATATATATATATATATATAATATAAGAAGTATTATGTAAATCATAATAATAAATTTTATTTTAATTAAAATATCAATATTATAAATAATAATAATTATAATGATATAAAATTATAATGATAAATTTTATTTTATTTAAATAATAAATATGAAAAATTATTTTATCATCAGAGGGTCATTATTAGAAAGTCTAATCTACTCATTCAATATCTCTCTCTTTCTCTACAGCGGGCGCTCGCCTGTCGCGATGCAGTCCATTTTATAAGTCGATGATGTATGTATATCAGTGGTGTATACGTGGGATAAGGATGCGTCTGGTTTGACGATCGCAATGCAATCTGAAATCATGGAAGATTTAAAGCTAAAATTTCTCGGCCTCATTAATAAACAGGTAAGCCGTTTGTTTACAAATGTCACAATAGCAAATATGATGGCGCATTATTTGTATTTTGCTGTATTATTCAGTAGTTAAATTAGGTTATGTGACACAGTGTATGTGCGATTGAATTTGACATTTCGTTGTCAAATAGTGTCACGTGTCGCTTCTCTTCGCTTTTTTTTGCTTTTCGCTGAAGGAAATCATTGCCAATAAAATGATAATTCTAGAGACGCGTGATATTTCAAAATTTGGTTTATGTCATAATAATATATATAATATATGTATACATATACATATAATTCAATTGTACGTGTATTTTAGAAAATATTTGATAAGTTTCGATAAATTTGTATACGCATTCATAATTATTAGAAGATTAAACATTAGAGAAAATAAAATTTAACTTGAAGATGATTTTTTTTATCATTGAGGGATGATATAATTTATAATGATTCATCTTTTTTAGAATGCAACTAAAGTGCCACTTATGGGCTTAAATCCTGATTTACTTAATCCACCTGATTCAGAAAAATGTGAAGATCTCCGTTCGGAGGCTGATCAGTCAACAGAGAGCGAGCCTGTACCAGATCAAGATATATTAGAGTCCATCGAGGATGTTTATTTCAATACCGATGGTAGTTTTGATCCATCGCGCTATGAATTAGAGAAATTGCCAATGATATTACATTCCAAGGAGATTGAAAAATGTTGCAAGAAACTCGAACAACAACATCAAGTTGTTTCCAAGAAAGTATTGCAACTTATTTTAGATAAACAGAGTGCTTGTACTACAGAATTTGATAAAATTCAGCAGCTGCAGGAACAATTACGAGATGTTCTAGAAATATGTAAAAAAGGAAGAGAAGATCTGGAAATAGCCAAAACGCAATTTACAACAGCAAGTTTAGGCATGTTAGCTAATTATCAGAGACGACAAGTAGTCCAAGAACTGCTAGCTAATTTGAATACTATAAAGACACTGGTAAGTTAATTTATTTATTTTTGTTATTTTTTTTATGTTTTAAAAGCGTATGATCTTCATAAAATTATAAATTCTAACATTATATGATGAATGAAACGAAAAGAATATTTTTGCTTACATTTAATTACTATGTTATTAGCAATGCACGGGAGATCGTCTGCAGGAACTTCTAAATGAAGGCAATTTTCCTGGAGCTATATCGCTTCTTTTGGAATGTCAAAGTGCTGCTCAAACTTATAAACATTTTCACTGTATCAATGCATTGAGTGGAAAGCTGCAAGATATCTTGGAGCAAGCAGAAAGGGCCTTAGATAGTACACTTTTTGAAATGTGTACTAAATTCGATGTCGCTGTATATTCCTCCATTCAAGAAGCATATACTTTATTAGGAAAGACACAATCTGCCATAGATCAATTGCATATGCATTTTAGTGTTGTTATTCATAACACCGCGTTCGCTGTTATTCATTCTTACGCGGGAGGCGACGTGAAGAGACAATATAAACAATTGTGTCAGGATGTGCCTCGCGACAAATATATAATTTGCCTCACAGAGTTGTGCAAATCACTATGGACAATATTGAGTTCATATTATCTCGTTGTAAATTGGCATAATACACAAGAAGATAAACCAGAACATAAATCTGATATTAAGAATTTAGAGGAAACTTTCAGCAAACAATACATTAAACAGAAATTAGAGAATAGTATGATTCGAGTATGGCATGACGTAGAAATGAAGATATCAATATATCTGACAAATGCTGATTTAACAGACATCAAATTTGAACAATTTGTTCAGGTGTTGAGCATAGTAAATAGGTAAAAACTTAATAAACGATAAAATTGTACCATTTGCCAATAAATAATAAAATATCTTTTAATTATAATTATAATTTAAAATATCTGTTAATTGCAGATTGATGGAGATTGGGGAAGAACTTTGCTTCAAATCAGAAAATTTGCAGGAATCTATAAGAAAGCAGTCCTTATCTTACTTTTCTCATTACCATACGTCTCGTTTGGATGAATTGAGAATATTTTTGGAAAATGATGGTTGGGAATTGTGTCCTGTGAAATCTAATTTCATGGCTACTCAATTATTGGAGTTTCGTAGTTTGAAACCTTCGCTCAATAACTGCAAAACATGGAACAGTTTAGATAGCTCAAACTTAAGTGACAGCGATAATTCATCAGGAGTCGACTTACAGAAATATTTGGAGGGCGGTTCCTCACCATTCACATTAGGATTGGATGATACTGTGGATGAAGATATTTTAATAAACGATGATGTATGAAAATCATTTATATATATATGACATTTTTAATATATTTTTAAAAATCTATATTACTGATCGTTCACGTATTTTTTTTTTTCTTATTTAGGTCAATTTACCTGCGTATTTTTCGGACGAGTCCGATGATGATATTCCAGATGAGCTGAAGCACGAATACGTCGATGAGCCAGATCATGCAAGAGTTAATAAAAAGAAGTGCAAACTCAAACAGTCTGGACCAATGGTCACAAACACGACATTAAGTATATTGAGGGTATGCGGCAAATATCTACAGATGTCGAGACTTTTACGATCGATCGCGGTCACTGTCATACAGAGTATGATACAGTTTTTCGAGTTATGCTTCTATACAGTACATTTGTTCTTTACATCGGATCTTGTGAGTTTGCATTTATGATTTTTATTGTACTTGCATATTGTACTAGATAATGTGATTTGAAAATATGTCTCTCTTTTAGCAAATCAATGGTGATTCTTTGTACAGTCCAAAATTAAAATTATCTTTGACACGAATCAGAGAAAGTCTGATTATTTCTGAGAACGATACGATAGAAGAAAATAGTAATGGGAATTGTGATAAAGTAAGACAACCACAGCTTTCGTCCATCGTGAATTTGTCGCAGCCTGAGAAACTTTACGGATTAACGGAACGTATAGTAGCTGTCGAATCTCTGATATTTTTAGGACAACAATATGAAGGCTTAAGACCTTATTTAGAGCATCTCATTGTCAACAGTCCTCAAAGAGGATTTTTACATCAATTTTACATGCAAACGATAGCATCTACCGCGGATCTGAGAAAGCCAGTTTATATGGCAGTAGCATCGCAGGCGTTTGATGTTGCAAACATCTTGAATTTAATGAACAAAGTCAATTGGGAAGTGACAGACGTCATGTCTCAACATAGCAATTATATTGATGCACTAATTCAAGTATGTTGATCTCTGTGAAACTAAAATGCATATGAACTACATTTGTGATGCTAAAAATGGTTGATTTTTAGGAAATATGTACTTTGAATGAAAGGCTTAATGTTATTGGAACATACATTCCTTTAAATGTAGAAGTATGTAATGCGGTATGGGAAAATGTGGCTCACTTAATTACACATACTTTAGTAGAAGGGTAAGAGAATCTGTTACTACATTTTTAAGTATATTTGCATTAATAATATTGTAAAATCTATTTCTATTGATGGAAATTTAATGTTGCTACTTTAGGTTTTCCCATGCTAAAAAGTGTTCAAATGGCGGTAGAGCTCTAATGCAACTCGATTTCACGCAACTAAAGTCAAAATTTGAAAAAATGACATCGTTGCGACCTATGCCACACAGAGAGTACGTTGAATTGTACATTAAAGCGTATTATCTTCCTGAAAATAATTTCGAAGAATGGATTAAAGAACATAAGGTATCGAAATTTGTTGTAATACTATAAATGTGTAATACTAACAAGGATATTTTCTTTTCCATGTACGATGCTAATATAAATTGTTTTTTGTAGGAATATTCAGTTAAACATTTAGTCGGACTGATATCGGCGACGTGTCAAAACAATAAGAAAACTCGACAGCGGTTGATAGCGCTTGCGGAAGAGCAACGATCTAGTAGATAGCATCCAATTATTTATTACAGATCTGTCCAAGGTTATGTTGAAATAGGTAGTATTTAAGGTATTTATCAAATAGGAAAAACGAGAAATAGAGAAACGATAATAGCCTGTTGTTGATTGTACAGTAGAACGAATTTTTTAAGTACGTTATGATCGGATACTCTCGTGTTTAAATGCATCGAATCAAGATCTTCGAGTCGCGGTCAAACGAGTCATATTTGAACCAAGCAAGTCATATTTTAATATATTTATGAACTATTATGTATATATGTGAATCTCTCATATAGTTCTAAGAAAAGCTTTTATAATTACTAACTATTAGCTTTACTGTAAATATTACAAATATTTTAACATATATATACATATATATGATATTTTAGAATCTATATAGTTAAACCAAAAAACCGTAAAAATTGATATTAAAATGCGCGTATAAACATTCGGCTTATTTTTAATATATTAAGTATGTCTTGAATGCGAAAACGCGCAAAGATTTTATGAATCTCATGAACCTATAAGTTTATAATTAAATTAAAGTATCAACATCAAACACTAAAATCGATTACTATGAATCTACAATTAAAAATTCAACGCCATTGATTTTACATTTGTGATGTTTTTACTTATGATCTGTCATTGAGCTGTTTTTACTTATGTCATATCATTATATTATTTTTAGAAAAAAAAAAACTTTACTTTTTTTTTATGTGAAAATATTATATTTCAGTGATTTTCTCCTGTTCATCTATTTTAAGAATTTTCGATTTTACATAGCTTCCCATATTTTTCTAAAAAGGTAGAGTATATATTAAATATATGTATGTGTGTGCGTGTGTGTATATGTGTGTGTATATAACGTAATATTTTCTTTTTTGCATATCCCGTTATATCTTATACATTTCATATATTAATTTTTTTTAAATTAATATTTTCGAAGCTAAAGAGAAGAATTTGGAAGATAATGTGATTAATATTCTATTCACAAATAATCATATTGGCTGTTGAATATAATAAAACCATGACTTCCCACTGAGTAATTTTAATAATCTTATTTATTTTATTAATTCCAATATCTTTTTATGCAAACTTTGAGGATAAAGTATCAAAACACAGTAAAATATTTTTATATAATTTCTTTGAATATATAGCTACGAATTATTATCATAAGCAGATATGTGTATTTAATATATATATGTATATAGCTAGCAAAAGTAATCATTTTGATTTAAATTGATGTCAAAATGACAATTTTTGCTATCTATGTATGTGTGTATACACACACATGTTAGAAAATGCATAATTTAAAGTGATTTTTATTATACAAATGATGGTATAATATACAGTTACATATATACTTTCTAGTTTCGTCGATTCTCGATTTCGTAAAAATTGCTATTATATTTATATTGCATTATATATTTCATATACATACACTATAAACCAAAAAGCTCCTGGTGCACCAGCAAATTTTCTTAATCCAAATCATCTTAATGCCCAACAATTCTTTGTGTAAAATCTGTTTTTTTATATATCTTAAAGAGATAATTTAACAAAAATTTTTGAAGTATTAACAGAATTGTTATATAATTGCATATAGTTTTCTGATAACATTCAAGAAATATGTAATTAACAATATAATATACATTGTACACACACTATAAACTTTATTTTAATGCTAGGTATGTATAGTAAATATGTAAATTAACCCAGCAATGTTAATTTCCTTATTGTTGAGTTGTTCTTCCTTTTGTCTAAAAAGTGGCTATTTTGTTTTTTAAAACTCATTTCGAACTTTATTCTCACGATTGGTGCATAAGGAATTCTCTGGCTAACAGCGTTGATCCATGTATAATAAAGCGTCGCGATTCACGTTGTGTATTATTTCTTATATTCCGAAGCGATTTTCTTTAACAAGTCTAATTTCTTTGTGGCCCCTGATAAGATGTAGTTAACAAATGTTACTAGTTTTATATAAATGGAAAATCTTTGAATATATTTTAATTAAACGGATACACATAAATAAAAGAGATGTTATTAAAAATTTTTTCATATCGAATAAAAATCTACTGCTATCTTTCGATGGCAATATAATTTATGATATCTACACATGACGTAATATTAAATTTTTAAGAAATTTTGTAGGGAACAGCCACACACACACATCTATATTTTAAATTTAATTTTAAATATAAATTCCTTTCTTCTATGTAAAGAATATATCATAACAAAACTATTTGCTGAACAGAAATTTAAAACTATATACTTATATATACTTTATAGAATCCGGTTTTGTAATCTGTTTTTTATCATTCTTTTCGCTATTTTCTCTGAGAAATCAAGAGAAACGAATTTAAAGTTATATTTAAGTTATTATATATATAAAGTATATATTTAAGTTATTATTATTTAAAGTATATATTTAAGTTATATATAATTCACTATAGTAACAAGATTACATAGTAATTACTTCTATGAATTAGTCATATGTAAACTTTTTTCTAATGCTGTAAAATTCTCGTTATGTTCAGTCTTTGAACTGATATTAATGAGGCAAAATACTCTATAATTCGTAAATTTCTGATTTATTGTTAATATTATGAAGTGAAGTCGTTCTCATTTTTAATAAGCAGAAGAAATGTATCTTTATATATAGCACTTATTCTCTCTTTTCCTATATTTTTCTTCTAAAACGTATCTGTTTGAAAAACGAATCTTATCTGTGAATTGTTTCTTTCCTGTCAATACTGAAGCAAAATCATAAATTTTTTGTTGTCACAAAATTTTCAGTTTCTTTTATTTTTATTTTTATTTTTTTTTTGTAAACTGTTAATGCGGAAGCATGGAAAAAAATCACATAAAACGCTCGACATCAACTTGGAATATATCAAACATATTTATGTACAAAAAACTTTGTCAATTAATATCATAACATTACATTTCTTTAATAATGAGAAAGCGGCTTCTGTTAAAGCCAATGGTAAAACGTAACAATTTATCATACTTGCATTTAAAAGAATATAGATATATATATTTTTTTTTATATAGTTAGTACACAATAATGTAATGACATTGCTATTTGAAACATTGTTAAAAAATGCAGAGATGAGATGAGATTGTACAAATACATGGCCATAGGATGCTAATTAATATAGCTAATACATTCTGAAAAACAGTACTTTCGTCTGATTATGATTTTTACACAGATGATGTGTTCAACTTCGCGCCCATCCATCTCAAGTGAAATACTTAATATTAATGGTACGGATGATGAAAGTTTTATGCAAACGCTTACGTTTGAAAAGTTTGCAGTCAAGAAAAAAAATCCATGATTATTATATAACGAAAACATTCTCTATAATAGTCTAATTCGCTAATATATCGTGGAATGTTTAAACAAGATGTCAATGTTAATTTATGATGTCTCTTGTTATTATTTACTTGAAACTCAATTTGATTTAATAATTATACAACACTTTGAACACTTGTAAACTTCTATTATGAATCAATTACGAATCTGAAGTATATTCTTACTAATCTTACACTATATAGATTATGCTATAAGAAATGAAACAGTCACAGAAACACTTATCTCATTCGTAAAATGCCGTTTAATGGTCTGATTGTTGCGACCTAATACTATAATATGCTTTATTATCCGATACTCACTTAACAGTAAAAAATATTGGCAGATTCAATGTTGTTACGCTCTTTTTGTAACATTTTCTTCTTTTTTTGGTTTTTGAGCTCACAATATCAGTAAACCGATAACTTCATGTTGCACTACTTTTTAAATTTTGCGGCTTGTGCGTTAAGAACGCCGGTTACGTTAGACACATCTTTGCATTTTTCAAATAAAATATCGTTAAAAAAAATCGTTTATATCCAACGTGATCGAAAGAAACAGAAAGAAAGTATAAAAATTAAAATGTTTATCAAGTTGGAAGACTTATGTCAAAAACCAATGAATTACGAGCACTTTTTCGGCACAAAAGTATAAATAATAATAGATGTTTACTGGTAGAATAATTTCGCTGCACTATATAAAGTCTCAATATAGATGCTGCAAATTTACTCATGTATTATATTCATGGATTATGCATACGAATATTATATAATACATGTTAAATAGCATTTTGACAACAAGATATTGCAAAGTCAAAAATCTACTTGTGATCTGTTAAAAACTTGAGATGTTCTCCATTTGAGACACTGAACTCCTCTCAGAGAACAATTATACAGATATCAGATAAGATCCCGCAAAGGTAAGTTATACAGTATACTAATCCTTGTGAATCTGTGAACCCCTTAATATCATAACTAGATATTTTTCTTGTAAATTTTCTTTATCTTGACAATTTATGTGTTGCGTGTGAAACACGTGTGTAAATATGTTACATATACAGAACGATGTTAAACCCGTGTCATGTAACCCTATTCAGTATAATTATTTCCACAGACTGGGATAAATAGCTAGTAATAAAGGTCTCGTCCCTTGGTACTTGAGTTTACAATAAATTACTATTCACCTAGTATCGATATTATTGGAACACACCATTAATAGTTGTCTTTATATTGTTTTTTTTTTTTGCTTTTGCACCTGCAATAACTTTGCTCGTGAAAAACATTTCGTCAAACCTATCATTGTCAGATGTTTGTCTTGACGGAGCCTCCACATGACAAATTAAAATAAAAATACAAAGCAAACGTGTATTCTCCATATATATATATATATAGCTAATTTGTGAAAAATAAATATTTGCTCATAATTTATGATTACTGGTTAACCACGTAAGGCCTTCATAAAGCCCGTCTCCCGTTGTGGCACAAGATGGCTGAACGTACCAATTTCTATCTCGTATCCTAGTTAATCCCAGTTTCTCTTGTATTTCATGCGGTTTCATTGCTAAATAAACAAATATAGACAAAAGTTTATATATTGCGCTAAATTACACAAAAGTATCTGTAGCACATATAATACATATTTGAAAAATAGATGTAGATGATTTTTACATAATTGTGAATCTGTTATGTTACTTACCATCAGGAAGATCTTGTTTATTAGCAAAAATTAAGATAATCGCGTCACGCATTTCTCTATCATTTATGATTCGATGGAGCTCTTGGCGAGCTTCGTCGATTCTATCTCGGTCCGCACAATCTACTACAAAAATAAGTCCTTGCGTCCCTGTGTAATAATGACGCCATAACGGACGTATTTTATCTTGGCCACCCACATCCTAAACACAAAGAATGTATCTCATTTGAAGAGAGCAAACGATTGGTTAAAATTAATTTTTTAAATATCTTGGTAATCTTTGTACATTATCATGATGAACAAGCAAGAATTTGAGACTTACCCACACATTAAATTTAACATTCTTATAGGTAACTGTTTCTACATTGAATCCTACAGTTGGTATAGTTGTCACAGACTGTCCTAGTTTAAGTTTATACAATATTGCTGTATAATTTAATTAAGGAAATAGATTTATATAGGAAAGACATATGAATTACATAATACGTGACAAACTGTTTCACTTATAACGGTCTATTGGTTATAAATTACGTAAGAGCTTTGTATGATGTAAAGAAAAAAAAGGTGGTTGCAGTGATTAAAAAGACAAGCTTACATCATTAAAAAAATATAAGAATCGCGTTTGTATAAAAAGGATACTTGTTTTTCCTGCAGCATCCAATCCTAACATGAGAATACGCATCTCCTTGTTGCCAAAAATTTTTGACAACAACTTGCCCATTTTGCCAGCTGCGTTCTAGGCACCTGGCACCTGTATTTCAGAAAATGCATGGTTTTTATACTTACTTTAATAAATCTCAATCTGTCAAGTTTAGCTAGCATGTGCTGTCATTCTGTCACAAATGTCTCAGACACGAGTTGTAGAGTATCTCTTTGTTAATTACTACAAATAGATACGTATCTCAGAAGATTGCATCTCGATAAGCTACATGTCAAGCATGTGTCACTCATTGCTATAATGCAATTATCTTGAAAATCGCGATGAGATAATAATAAAGATGTGTATCGCGCGCGCGCGCGCGCATGTGTGTATGTGTTTTTAATGCATTATTATCGACATTCTTGTTTACGATGCAATAATAATATCAACAATTTATCATATGCTAGAGATTTCGTTGAGATCCCAGATGCGATAAAGCCGGCGATAACCGGTTCGTCGCGGAGAAAAAAAAAAAGCTCGCCGTAATCGTGTCAACGAAGCTTGGCGGAAATGAAGTACACGCGCACACATACGGACACATAGGCACGCACACCCACACGAAACGTGTCCATCCATTTAAAGGCTGCGTTTAAATCCCACGCCTTATCTCCGTCCTTATCGGTCCGCGGCATCGATCGACGATTACCTCAATTATATCTTAACCCTCCGCTACGAATCTCTCATCGCGATCGGCCAGGTGCTGCGGACGACTCGGTCAAACGCGGATAAATAGAGACGATGCGGCGGCCAACCACTTCCCTTAACCTATCCGCGAACATTATCGGCCGCCGCCGCCGCTGTCGCCGCCGACGTGTGCACAGGGTGTAGTCCTCGTGCGGTGTGTTTGTTCGTTTTAACTGCACTCTTCGCGTTCAAAATAGACCTCCGCGGATCGCCTCGGTTGCACTCCTCGCGCTTTCTCTTCTCCGGGACTCGAGGGAGCGAGCGGAGGAACAAAGTATATACGTTACGTTGCGAATTTTTCCGGTAACCGAGAGAGGAATAATCGACTCCACGTCCCCTCGCAACGCCTATGTCATACATTTAAATTCAGAGAACTGTCACTTGCGCCTTCGTCTGTTAATTGCACTTTCGGTATTTCAAATAAAATTATAGAATACGATTGGATTACGGAGAAAGGGAGGAACTGAAACGAACCTGTTTGAAAATATACGCGGAAGTGCAACAAAAGTGCGGCTTGAAACACACATACCCCGCGATTAGAGGGAGAGAAACGGTCCGAGGTGTAGACGGTGCAAGAGAAGTGTACCGCGGGTACGTACACACTGTGGTCGTGTTGTGTCGCGTCGTGCCGCGCGAATTCGTGTGAAAGGGGAGAAAAGGCGTGTTCGCGTGTGGGCGACGAAAGGGACAGGCCTCTGTCGCCGATTCCCCGACATTGGCAGGAGCCGCGCTACATCCGTTGAAATGAACGCATCCGTAAAAGAACCGGGGAACGAATCGTCCACGACGACGCTCGACGGGGTCGCCTCGTCGACCCCCGACGCCGACAACCGACTCGATCGTCGCTTGCCGGGGAGAGGCACGCGCAGCAACTCACCGAGAAACATCTACGGAGCAGAGCGAGTACTTTACTGCTGACGGTACCGCGCGGACACATCACAACACTTCACGTAGGTCTGCACCGTCGTCGAAGAGGGAGAGGTACCGCCTGGACATCATCGTGAAATTTCAGTTATTTCATTGCCGCGACGGCATCATCATCGTTGTCACGTCCCTTCGTAAGTCACGGCGCGTGCCACGCGACTCCAGCGCCACCGCGCGTCGCCGAGGCTTACTAAAGCATTGGATCTTTCAAACTACTGTTGGTATTGTAGGTCTCTTCCTTTCGCATTCTTGCATTTTTTAAGTGTTTAAATAAAATATAAACAATTTGTGTACAGAGTAAATTGAGATATAATATCGGGAAAAAGGATGTTCGATAAAACATCATAAAATAAATTTGATCGATTTCTTTTTTTTTTGTAAAAATATTGTATGTTATATTTGTTAATTCTTATATTTATAATTACTTTTAATCTTCTGAAAGAGAAAAGTGTAAAAAGTACGATTGAAATATTTTCCATCTGTTTGCTTTAATTAAAATACAAGATTTAAAAAAACCATAAAATAAGTGAAATGAGAAAATAGGAAAGATAATTAAAATCAATAGATCTGTTTGGATGTAACGTTATAATAAATGTGTAAAGAAACATCTTAGCATGTTTAAATAAGTATATATTATTTTTCTCCAAGTATTTAATACTCATTATCTTGCAATGTATACATCATGATAATGACAGACTTATCAGTTTCCTTTTGTAAAGATTAAAATCGATATGTATATAACCGAGTATGAGAGAATATAAGATTATTTAAAAAACTAAAAATGAAATAATGTATAAGATATAAGAATAAATAAGAAAATTATATTTCAACTCTTGCTTGTCAACTAAAAACATGTAACTTTTAATTAATTTCTTTACGCATACATTTATTATGGTTTTTCTCCTTAAAAGTTAAAAATATTCTTAATTATTTTCGATGTAGAAATAAACATATATAAAGAAAGAAAAAAAGAGGACCGGAAAGAGAGAGAGAGAGAGAGCGAGAGGAAGAGAGATAAACGGAACGATTCATTATCATTAATCGCGTTATCGCTAATTTTGCTATATTCGAGATACTCTCCAGCCAAATAATTTATCAATATTACGACTAATTTATATATTGTTTCTCATAGAAAAAAATATCGATTCTCTATTATTTCTTTTCTCTCGTACGATTCGAGTAAAGAAATATTTATCGATTTATGTACGCATCTTCGCGTACGTTCGCGAATCGATTCATATCAAATGTACAAAAATCGAAATCAAAATCGCGACAGAAATGCATGTTCAAAACTGCATTATTCTACTAAACATCCAGAGGAGAGAGAGGTAGAGAGGGGAAACCGGTATAATTCCAGTTTCTCCGAAATGTGGAATGTCGCTGCTAAACGAAGACTCGAACAAAGTCGCTCGGAAATTCTTGCCCGCGCGAACGTTGCTCTCGACTCAAGGTCGTTGGCTCTCACGTCGCAACCTTTTACCTTTCGCGTTTGCCGGCGCCGGAAGTAGGGCGGGAAATTTTCGGTCCACGCGTATACAAGCATAAATAATAGTCCTACATCGTGCGAATTTCACAGGAGGAATTCCTAATCAGCATCGCTTTACGAGTCATCTCTTTTGTTTAGCTCAACTATCGATGGGATAAAGGACGAATGACGTCCAGGTTATCGTCGTGGAAGAGATGACTTTTCTCAGCTATGGCCGGCGACAGCTTGTTGTGTGGCACGGTGGCCAAGAAGAGGAGAATTGTGCATGTAGAGGAGTCCGACTGGGCGGGAGGGGTCGATAAGAGAAATCGAATCGGGCTACGTGGAGTCGTGAAAGTGAAGGTGAACGTCACCGTTATACCTGCGAGACAGGCCGATCGAGCCCGATGAATACCTGTTGCTCTTTGCTGGTATCCCCCCGTCATCCGATCGTTCTTTTCCTCGCTCGCTCGCTCGCGTCGTCGACGCACACCGCTGCATCGAGGAATTTATTTATGGATTTACACGCCAGACGATAAGTGTGACACCCGATAAGGAGATAATTGTATACATTTCGTTCGCAAGTGTCAAGCGCAGATCGTCGACGATTATGGAAGGTCTGAGGGAGAAACTGAACGAGTACCATCAGGTACATCTGCTTAGATTTTGGGAGGAGTTGACGGACGAGGATAGAAACCAACTGGAGAATGATATAGAAGAGTTGGATCTGCAAGAGACTACTGCGTACTTTAAGAAAGCTGTGGAATCCTCCCAGCACATCGGTCAAGGTATGCTGGATGACAAGGTACGACCGATCGACGAGGCAAAGATCGCTTCTGTTAAGACTTCGACGAAGGAAGAACTCAAAAGATACGAAGAACTAGGTTTGACAGAAGTCGTTGAGAATCGTGTCGCTGTATTATTGATGGCAGGTGGACAGGGCACACGTTTAGGAGTGACCTATCCCAAGGGAATATACGATGTCGACTTGCCATCTCATAAAACTCTCTTTCAATTGCAAGCAGAAAGGATACTTCGTTTGCAAAATATAGCAGAACAACGTTGTGGAAAACGTGGAGAGATAACTTGGTATGTGGTAAAAATTCTTATTTGCTAATAAGTATAATGTATTGTTAGAGAAAAAAGAATGAAAAAAAATATCAAACTTCATTTTATTTTATTTTTTTGTTTCAGGTACATCCTTACTAGCGATGCTACTCATGATACCACTGTTGCATATCTACGTCAACACGATTACTTTGGTTTAAAAGAAAAAAATGTCAGAGCTTTTAAACAAGGCATGTTGCCTTGTTTTACTTTCGATGGAAATATTATTTTGGATGCCAAGCATCGGGTTTCTAAAGCACCTGATGGTAACGGAGGATTGTATCGCGCATTGAAGAATCACAAAATACTGGACGATATGATACAGCGTCGTATCCGAAGTATCCATGCACATTCCGTGGATAATATCATGGTAAAAGTAGCGGATCCTATATTTATAGGATACTGCTTGCTCTCCGAAACGGATTGCGGAGTCAAAGTTATTGAAAAATCTTCTCCTTCTGAAGCGGTTGGCGTAGTTTGCAAGGTACATATACTTCTATATATATCTTTTTTGTGTTTTAGATTAAATTTATATACTTGTATAAATATTTTGTGTAATTCAACATTTTTATCTTGATTAATGTAGGTGGAAAATCATTATCAAGTAGTAGAATACAGTGAGATAACGAAGGAGACCGCGGAACTTCGTCACGACAATGGACAACTGGTATACAATGCCGCCAACATATGCAATCACTATTTTACGATTGATTTTCTAAAAGATATTGTATACTTTCACGAGAAAGATTTGATTCTACACGTGGCGAAGAAAAAGATTCCATACATCAACGATGAAGGGGAAAGGATCACTCCGAAAATTCCGAACGGCATCAAAATAGAGAAATTTGTATTTGATGTATTTCCTTTCGCAAAGAATTTCGCGGTATGGCAAGGAACTCGCGAGGAAGAATTCAGCCCGTTGAAAAATTCAAATTCCGCCGGTCAAGATTGCTCGAGCACTGCTCGCACTGATCTGCTCAATCTACATAAAAAATGGTTATTAGACGCAGGCGCGAAAGAGGTTGACGATAACGTCGAGATCTCTCCTTTACTCTCATACGCGGGGGAGAATTTATATGAAATAGCGAACAATCAATCTTTCGCAGGACCGCAAGTTCTCGAATATTGAAAACGAATGAAAAAGATTCCGCCGATCTATCGTAACGAGTTATATTGGAAACAATATTTACATTCCTGTGATGAAATAAAATTATGAAATAAGATGAAATAAGATAAACATAAGTATATCGTTTATAATAATTATATTTTATTATAACATTAGTTTTGAGATCTATATACAATTTGCAAACTTTCAAAATTAAATCATATTTACAATGATGGAGCTGGTTACTATCTGGATCAAAGAAAATGATGTAAATAAGCATTATATTAATAATGCATTATGTATATCGAATTTCCGGCTGATATAAATTCAAATACATATAATCGGTGATAATCTCGCAATATTATAAATGATACAGATATATATATATATATATATATATATATATATATATATATATCATTTTTATATACTGTTATGTATGTTAAATAAAAATTGAATATACACAAGTTTTTAATTATTAGAGAATCTTAAATTATGATTAGATTAGCAATTTTCATTTTTATTACCAAACCTAAATATTTTGAGAATAAAGAACCTTCCATCCAAACAATTACCTTTATCAAAAAATCACTTACAAAATGCATATTTTAGAATTAATATTTTGAATAATTTAAAGAAATAAAGTTCTGAATTTTTTAATAAATAGATCATTATAAATGGAATAGATACTGCAATTAGAAAATTTTAAACTTGAAAGTGAAAGACATTAATGCTGCGCTATATATATGAAATTTTTAAATGTACTATTCGATTATATTTATATTTTTCCATTAAAAATTTTATGCAAGTTATGCATCGGATAAAGGATATGAATAATAATATTCCTATAAATGCAATTATAAAAATATACTGAGATATTATATTGATATAATTCACAAAGATATTTGTCTCAATAAAAAAAAATATTTTATAATTAAAAGAAAATTCTAAAATGTTTTTGAAAGAAATATAGGAGTTTATCGTTAAAAAATTTTTATATAGAAAAGTTAAAACTAGACTATATGAGCGCATGTCTCTATAATATAAAAACTCGTTATTTTGAATCGAAGTACACACATCTTTTCATAAACACAAAGTCGTCTTCATGTACAAGAATAATGACCGATCTCTCGTGGTATACGTATACTTTTTAAATTTCATTTTATAAACATTGTGTTGGTTCTAGATTATTAATCATGAACCGTCAAGAATTAATAAACAAATATTATACTGATCTAGAATATGGTATAAATAAAAATGTGAGTATATAAATATAAATGAAAATATAAATATATATGAATATAAATATATTATATTATTAATAAGATTTATATAAAATATCATATTATTATTAAAATCAAAAAAAGAAGATCTCTATATAAAAAAGAGAAGGAAATAGTACTTATGTTAGATACTAAGTAGTACTGTGATAAAGATAGTACTTTTTTTAGGAAGCAATAAATAAAATACGCGATTTGACTTCGGAATTAAAAATTCTCGATGCCAATAATTTTGCAAATAGGTAAATTAAATATATAAATTTAAGATGCAAATAATATAATAAAAATGTAAAAGATACTTTTTTCTCATTTTTATCATGTTTAATGTATATGTGTCTATTTTTTTATGTGTTTGCAGACTCAGCAAAACGGCATCAATAATACAACAAAATTTTCGTCTTTTTGTATCCATCTGTGAACATAAAGATATAGTTACTAGTATTATTGATTATTTAAAATATTTTAGTGTGCAAATTATACATATGATGAAGGGTATGTTTAACAATATTCTTGCAAAAACAAAGATATTGATATTACATTCTTTATATTTTTATCATCATTTTTTATTTTTATACTTATAAGTAACTATAGGGGAATACATATAAAAATTTATTTTCTAGGCGAATTCGATGACAAAAATGAAATAATTGAATTATTAATTCTTACAATTTATAATATGAATTTAGTACCAGAAATGATATTATTTTTGGAAAAAGCTCTTGTGTAATTATTCAATGCAAAATTTTTTTACTGTGTTTAAAAATATAATTAATAATTTATTTTATCATATTAAAATGATAATTGATATTTTATGTATATTATTCTTTTAGCGAAGATTCGGACGCAGAACACATTACAGAGATCAGAAAATTACAGAACACATTACAGAGATCAGAACATTACTGTTATAACAGAATACATTACAGTTATAATATTCAAATTTTAGGTAAGAAAACTATAGTTAAAATATAATTATATTAAAATTATTGCTTTTTTTAATATTTTCAAAAACATTCGAGTATTAAAAAATTAATATTTTTATAATTATTGCTTAAGTATTAGTAGCTTTTGTCTAATATTTTGAAATTTTATTTATAGATCAAAATATTGAAATGATACTTCTTGAAGAATCAGATTTGTATGCAATCATCTACTATTTAAAAATGAGAAATATTGTGTCTTCTTTAAAAAAAATTTGGGTCCAAGAATCAATAAAACAAGTTTTTCAATGGCATATAAAGAAATATCTTGGACATTTAAATATTCCCATTTGTACATTTCAATCAAAGCAAGAATTACTTATGTCAGAAATTATTTCTACCGAAATAAAATTACTTTCCATATGGTCAGAAGATATTGTAGATGCAAGAAATTTTGCAATGTCCTTCAAGGTACGTCATTTAAATTATAAAAATCATGATGTTTCCATAATGTGATTATTAAAACAACATTTACTTTTAATAGAGACATGTTATTTTCATAAATACACATATGAATTTTTGCGCTGGGATCTTATTACCATACACAAAACCATTTTGCTATTACAAAATCGGCTTTATATCTGAAGATGAAACAAATGCAAAGTACGTAAAATACAAAGCAGATAAAAGTTATATTTATTATAATTTATTTTATAATGGCATGTGGAAGAAACCTGTGAAAAATATGTATTATATGCATAATAATTTTTTCTTGGCAAATGCAACAAGGTACAAATAGACATACTCTTCTGATTTTATTATGTAATAATTTTTGAATTTAAAAAATTAATTAACAATTAGTTTAAAAATTTAACTTAATTGTTTAATTTATTGTAGTGAAGATTTTGAGAAATGTTTAAACTCAGCTACACAAGGATTTAAAGTTTGGAATGCTATGCCTGTCAGTAATAGAATGTATGTATTACACCATCTTGTATCAACATTAGAAGCCCAAGGGTACGTGTAAATTATTAAAAAGTTTTTCTATATTTATATTATTTATATTTCTATTTTCCAATTTTTATTTATTATTTTTGTTATAATTGTTTTCTTTTTTTTTAGTGAATCTTTATTAGCGAATGTAGTATCAAAATGGTTAAAATTGCCATATTATTGTATAAATCAATTGACTCGTCATGAAACTGATCAATTTGAAGTAACAAAAATTCGTGAATCAAGAGGTGTTATTATTCTTGAAGAAAAAGAGAAAATGACTATGTTTCGTGAATTAACACAAAGTTTAATTACTGGCAATTCTGTTATTGTGATATGTAATCCAGATGTGTGTACTCTAACACATTATTGTGACATGTTTTCAACAGCTATGATACCACCGGGTGCTATAAATCTCTTGTCAAGTAATGTCATAGTGGACATTAAATATAATAATCTTGCAGATTTAAAGCCAGAAGAAGTATATGCACATCTCACTCTAAACAAGCATATTGTAATCTGCCTTAAATAGCATAGCATGTATCTCAATATTCACGAGTTATAGTATGATTTTTTATAGAAATGCGTATATAAGTTGTAAACACATGTTCATGCGTATTTTTTAATTATTGTATATTAAATATATTTATTTAAATTTTAGAATAATATGATTCTCTCTCTTTCAATCTAATAATTAATTTTTTGATATGAATTTATAGTCAAATAATATATGTATAATTTTCCATCTTTCTATAACTATATATTATGATATCCTTTAATTCTATAAAAGAATGTTTGTTATGATTGTTAATTAATGTCAAAATTATAAATGTTGTTTGCATCAATACTGTATAATTTATATTTTAATCTTTTACATGCGATATAATTAATAAATAAAGTACTAATTACAGTGCATCATGATTAAATAATACAATGATAAATATAAAATAAAAATATTTAAACAATAGCTATGATGAATAAATTTAAATACAGCTAGTGCTTTAGACTTTTAAAAGTTTAGAGCAGCGGAAGGTTTCAAAGAGGTTTGATAAAAATTTTCAAATTGTACTGTTTCAAATTGTATTTAATTTTGAAGACAATAATACGATTCATTATATAAATAACAATAATATAAATTTGTTTTTTAACAAAAGGAAAACTGTTTTATGAATTATATATTTTAGCACATAATAAATAAAAATGCAGTAGCAAAATATTTCCGTATCATTTCTTTAAAAAATACATAGGTATCTAAAGAAAATAAATGAATTTCCGTAAAAAGAATGTTATAGATTGTTTACATTCTTCTTTTAATCTTTAGCAGTTAATCTTTAGAGTTTATTTTAGTAATATCATATGGAAAAATTATTTTAAAATGCTTTTCATAATTACCGGTTTGTTATTTTGTATCAAAATACATATTTTTTTGCACAAGCACAAAGTCATCTTTTATTTACCATATACTGTTTAGAGATAATGTAGACAATTTCTCAAAGGCATATACTTTTTTAATTTTATTTATTGTAAAATACTATTAAAAATTTAATAATGGATATTAGCATATACGAGCGAGTGAAAACAATAAATGATTGTTATACTTATTTAGAATATAAAGACAACAGAAAAGTAAGTACAAATATGAATAATAAAAATGTAATATATGTATGTATGTAATATATTAGTAAAAAGTTATAAGATTTTTAATATTAATATGGAGATAACAATGTATTTTTGTATTTTTTAAATAAATCCTATTTTTTATTTATATATTTTTAGGAAGCATTGAGAAAAATATCCACTTTATCCAAAGAATTAAAATTTGAAGATTTTCATGACTTTTCATATAGGTAAATAAATTTAAGCTGTAAATAATGATAAAATGTAATAGTGAAAAAAAAATATAAAAGTTACTTTTATCTTCATTACATTTTTTGTGTTTATAGATTTTTTGAAACAGCAACATTAATAAAAAAGAATTTGAGAATTTTTATGGCAGCTTGCGAACATGTAGATGTAATTACCACTATTGTTGATTACTTTATTCATTTTGCTGTGACTTTTAAACTTGATAATGAATCTGGTACGTATATTATATAGTAATAATATTGCAAATACGATTTTAAGAATCTATTGATAATACATGTTATTTGCATTTTTATCATAATTATTTTATATCATAATTTTTTTACAACAAATGGCACTCATTATATATGAAATTTTTTCTTCTCCAGGAATACGTAATAATAATGAAAAAGTCATATTAATAATGCTTACAATCTATAATATGTATAAGGAACATGTAATTCAACAATTTTTGGAAGCTGCAATAATGTAATTATTTTTTGCAAATATTTTTACATTAAATTAATAGATATTGAATTAGTCATTATAATATTAAAACTAATATTATATTCTAAACTAATATTATTATTTTACATATTATTTTTACATTTTAGCAAAAAATCACAAGTACAGATATATAATAATTATAAAAAACTTATACGTAAGAAAAATATTTATATTTAAGATATAATTTAAAATTATATTTTAATTTTATATTTTTTATAATTAATCACTTCACTTACAATTTAGGACCAAATATTAAAATGATAGTTTTGGAGGATTCTGATTTGTATGCAGTTATTAAATGTCTGAAGATGAAAAACATTTTGTTTCAATTAGATACAATTTGGGTACAAGAATCAATAAAACAGACTTTTGCGTGGTATTTAAAGAAATATTTTAGATATTGGCAGATAAAATTTTATACATTTCGATCAAAAGAATTACCTACATTAAATACAACTAAATATATATGTACTATACATATAGTTTCCATATGGTCAGAAGATATTATAGCTGCAAAAAATTTAGCAGAATCTTTAAATGTACATTATTATAATATAAGATTATTGTAAGTACCTATAATATTGCCAAATCATTTTTTAAAATAATGTTTATTTTTAACAGCATGACGTTTTATTTATAAACTCTTACATGGATTTTTGTCCTGGTATCGTGCTTCCATATAAAAATATATACCTCAAATCATTACCTGAATTTTTCAATTTACAAGTAGAGAACAAACAAATATGTACAGATCCAATTAATCCAACTATGCATAAAGGTATAATAATTGATCTGTTTTATGATGGCATATGGCAAAAACCTATGGAAAATACATATTGGATACATGATAACATTTTATTGGCAAATGCAACTCGGTATAAACTCGTATACTTATCTATAACAAGCTTTATATTCCAAAACATTTAACAAAATATATTTAATTATTTAATTTATTATAGTGGAGATATTATGAAGTGTATTGATTCAGCTACAGAAGGATTCAAAATTTGGAGTAATATGTCTAGTGATTTAAGAATGCAATTATTAGTTAAGTTTGCAAACATGTTAGAATGCAATGGGTATGATAAATAATTCTATAATGTCTTATTTTTTATATATTTATGTGTTCATATTTTATTTTGATACTCTTTTATAATTCTGTTTTTTTATTAGTCAATTTTCACAGACCAAAATAATATTAAATTGGATAAAGTTGCCATATATTTGTGGAAGTCTAATACATTGCTTTCAAACTGAAAGATTTGAAGTAATAAAAACTCGTAAGCCACGAGGTATTGTTATTCTTAAGGAAAAAGATGAAAGTATTTTGTATCGCGAATTAACACAAAGTTTAATTATTGGAAATTCTGTCATTGTGATATGTAATCCAGATTTATGCATTTTGGCACCGTATTGTGACATGTTTAAAATGTCTGGAATACCTCCGGGTGTTATAAATCTCTTGTCAAGTGAAAACATCAACTTTAGATACAATATAATTAATAACTCAACAGTAAATGAAACCTATGAAGCTCTTACTGACGTCAAGCATATTATAGTTTCTCGTAAATAATTCTTATAATGTATTTCTTGTAATGTGTTCTAGTGCTTATGATACAACTTATAGATATATATACAATTTATATACGTAGGCATAAAAATTCCTCTATATATTTTAACATTATAATTTTAGAAAGATTTGATTTCTCTAGTTATTAAGTTTTTTAATGAATTTTTTTTACTAATTCTTATGTTACATCTCCTAATTCAATATTGTAAAAGATAGTATGTTATGATTGTTGATTAATAATGGCAAAATTAACTAACTAAATAACTATAACTATACTGATATAAATTATAACTATACTGATTAAATTAATGTTGTATAATTTATGTAATTTTCTGCCTTACATGTCACAATTAATCGTAATTAAAAGATCAAAAACAATTAAAACACAACTAAAACATAAAACACAAATTTATGAAATAAAAACAGTTAATCAACAATGATAAATGAATATCTACAAACAATGCGATTTTTGAAATTCCAATCCGAACATTAAAGACATCTTTTTTTAAAACTAATTTTAAAATTTTAATTTGTAGAACAAAAATGAACATGCTTTCATCATATAAATTATCGTTGTACTGTTGATATATTTTTTTACAATCTTTAGTGCACTTCTTATTTTACTAATATTATGAAAATATTATTAGTTTTAAAATGTCTTGCATAATCACCAATTTGTTGTGTGTTGTACCAAAATATATATTTTTTTACACAAATATAAGGTCGTCTTTCTGTATTTGTAATCATTATTTTGCAAAGGCAATACGCGTGTAGCCTCTCTCAATCTCTCGTAGCATATATATAATTCTTTTTATGAAATATTATTGTAATCGGATTAATAATAATGCATGAGCGTGTGAAAACTATAAACAAATATTATGTTAATCTAGAATACGATACAATATATATTAACAAGAAAAAAGTGAGTATATGAATGTGAATAATGTATGCACTATTAAAATTAATTATAGCAAGTTATAAAATTTAACATTAATATTAAGAACAAAGAGCGCGAAAATTTTAACTATATTTTAACTATTTTTTATACATATTTTTAGGAAGCACTAGAAAAAATATCCGCTTTATCTAAACAATTAAATTTTAAAAATTGTGACGAAATGTCATATAGGTAAATGAATACTTTTAATTTTAAACTGAAATAATGTAATACAATGTAAAACAAATGTAACAAATGTAAAAATGTTTTTATTTTTGTCTATAATCTATGTATATATCTGATTTTTCATGTTTGTAGATTTTTTCATACAGCATCGCTAATAGAAAAGTATTTGAATCTTTTCAAGTCAGTTTGCGAACATGTAGATATAATTACCACTATTCTTGATTACCTCTATTATTTTGGTGCGTGTTTTATGCTCAATTTTAATTATGGTATGTTTAATAATATCTTTACAATTGCAAGTTTCAGAATTATATCGATATTATAAGTTATTTGTGTGAATCTCTTTCATAATTTTATATTTTTATTTTATTTATAAATAGTAATGTGTTAGATATAACAAATTATATGCGAAATTATTTTGTTTTTAGATGGATACAAACCATCAATTGTGTCAATAATGCTTACATTCTACAGTATGTATGCAGAAGATGCAATAAGCTTATTTTTGGAAACTGCCATTATGTAATTATACTTTATAAAAACTCTTCTACTGTATTATATATTAACGTTTCTATTATATTATATTAATTAATATTTGATTATTACATTAAAATTGATATTTTAGATATTTTATTTTAGTTTATTAATGATAATTATTATAATATTAGATTATTATTACATATAATAGTTATTATACTTATTATAATATAGTTTATTACGTAGTTATATTATAAATATTATGTTATTTTTATATTTTAGTCGGGAATCACAAAAGAAGATTTATTATAATTATAAAGACATTGCAGGTAAGGAAAACATTTATGAAAGATGTAATTTAAAACAATATTTTCTTATTTTAATTAATTACTTCAATATTTATAGTGCAGCATTTTGAAATGATACTTCTCGAAGATTCAGATTTGTATGCAGTTACTAATTGTTTGAAGCTTAGAAGAGTTTTGTCCGATTTAAGTAAAATTTGGATCCAAGAATCAATAGTACAGACGTTTAAATGGCATTTTCAGAAATGTTTTGGAAGTTTGAATATTCCTATTCATATATTTCAATCAAAGCAAGAATTACTCGCATTCAATACATTTAAAAGCAATATGAATATGACTGAAATGAATATAGTGTCTATATGGTCAGAAGATATTGTAGCTGCAAAAACTTTAGCAGAATCCTTAAATGTATATTTATTAAAATTATGTAATATAACATGCTATTATATTGCTAAATTGTGCTATTAAAATGCTATTTCCTTTCAACAGCAAGATGTTGTATTTATAAATACACATATGGATTTTTGTTCTGGTATCATATTGCCATATATAGATAAATATGTCAAATCATTAGATAAGTCTCTGAATTTACATCAAGTGGATAAATATATGTGTGTGAATCCAATAGATCGAACAGCGCATGAAGGTTTAATATATGATCTGTTTTATAATGGCAAGTGGCAAACTCCTACTAATGATACATATTGGATACATAACGAAATTTTATTGGCAAATGCAACTTAGTACGTGTATTTCTCTAGTTTTATTCTGTAATAATTTTCTGATTATAATAGTTTAACGAAATTATATTAAATTTATAATCATTTCATTTATTATAGCGAAGATATCACAAAGTGCGCTATTTCAGCTATAGATGGATTCAATACTTGGAGTACTATGTCTGCTAAATCTAGAATGAAAATATTATCTAATTTTGTAAATATATTAGAGTGCAATGGGTATGTTAAATTATTATATAATGTTTTATTTCTTGTGTGTTCTCTTGATATTCTTTTTTAATTTTGTCCTTTTTTTAGCAAATTTACAGTGAGCACAATAATATTCTACTGGATAAAAATGTCATATATTTGTGGAAGTAAAAAACAATATTATCAGAATGAAAGATTTGAAGTAATAAAAGCTCATAAGCCACAAGGTACTGTTATTCTTAAGGAGAAAGATGAAATTACTTTCTTCTGCGAATTAACACAAAGTTTAATTATTGGCAATTCTGTCATAGTGATATGTGACCCAGATTTATGTACTCTGGCACCATATTGTGACATGTTTAAAATATCTGGAATTCCTCCGGGTGTTATAAATCTCTTGTCAAGTGAAAACACTAACTTTAGATACGATGTAATTAAGGATTCAACAGTAAGTAAAGTACATAGCGATCTTACTATAATCAAGCATATTATAATTTCTCGTAAATAATTTTAACAAAATGTGATATATGCTCTAATGTTTATAATGAATCTATGTGGATATATACTCAGGTATAAGCATGCTAGTATATTTATTTCAATATTATAATTATACAATAGTATCTGTTTTTAGTTTAAAAAAATTAATCTTTTAAAATTCTTTTAAAATAAAACTGTAAAGTGTCAGATAACTTTTTCTGCCGATTTCTATATTATAATATTCTTTCTACTCAATGTTATAAAAATAATAAAGATTTTATATCATGATAATAAAAATTATGTTATTTATTCATTATGTCAGATTGTGTGATTATAAAATTGTCAAGATTATAAATATGCTAATTAGATTAGCATTGTATAATTTGTTGTTTTAACCCTATATTTCACATGTATCACGTTAAAAATACACAATTGAAATTTAACGTAATTGTCGATGCACAAATAGCTTTATTTAGAAACAGTTAAATCTAACCTTATTTAATCGAAATTCACAAAACGCGCACTTCCACACTTGAAAACGGACGATGTGCAATTGCGATAGTTGACCATAGAACATATAAAATAGATATACGGTATACCTATTCCAAAAAAGGTGAAAGGTTTGTAATAAAAAAGATTCGTTCAACGTTCAACGTTCGATAGCCAATAAAAATCGTATTCGATTATATTATGTGTTCTTGTTCGAAAGTTCATAATGGAATTATAATTATCAGAATAGCTAGAATAACTTTCAGTGCGCGTTATATAAAAAATGTAAGATTTAAGAAAAAAATTATTGAAGGGAAATGAAAAGTTACTATTAATGTATTATAATATTTATGATATCATTTAATTATAAAAGCCGCAAAAAATATGTATCGTTTGAAAAAAATTGGATTTTTATATATATTTGTTCCTTTTTATATATCTTGTTTCTATAGTACTATTTTAAATATATCCATGATATACGTTTTATTAAAATATTTCGAATTAACGTGACCATTAATAAATAACATACAGTCACAAATTATTTCTCTACGGGGCATCTCCGACATCTTGATATTATTTCAAATATGGGAAACTTTCATATATTAAATGAGAAAATTATCGCAATTAATTTACTATATAATTCAATCATTTCCATTAAATATTTCCACGTCAACTAAAATGTATTTCGAAATTCATTTGAAACCGCGCTGCGATTACATGCGCGCGCAGACGCGCATGCGCGCGCGTGTGCGACCGTCATGTTTACTTCATGAAAATACGTGACGCGCGCGAAAGGACGAAGGGGCCGAGGACTTGGAGCGACGATTCCTGCGTCGATCGACTTCTTGCCGCGTTATCGTCATGTCGATCAGGCCGCTTTGGCCCGATTTGCGACCGCGGGCGACCGATCCGCTGTGGTTCAACGCCGACCGACCGTGTGACGACGAGACCGAAGTCGCCGCTCTCGAAGCGGAGCACCAGGCCTGGGTAAGTGTGCGAATAGATCGAGGATGTATTGTCCTTGTTCACGTTTCTTCACGTTTCCTCGTTTTTCCAGAGAGATCATGTGCGGGTGCAAGGGTACGAGCACATCCCAATCGGGAAGACAGTGAGCGACGTAAGTTAACCTAACCTAAACTGAATTAACTGTCATTGACCATGCATTATTTTCGCCCTTTACATTGATAATGTACGTTTAGTTCTGTCATCTCTAGTGTCCTATTCTGATGGATTGTTTTTTTTTTTTATTTTTATTAAGTATATAGTCTGTATTTCTATAGTATTGGGTTTTGATTATTGAATTTATATTAAATTATTTAATATTCTCAATTTATAATTTTTACGCGAATAATAGATGGACGAAAGATAAATTAATGTACATTGTAGCGTAAAAAAGATGATTATTAGGATTCTCTGACTATTAATTTCTTATTTATTTTTTATCCTTCTGATGTAGACATGAATATCATATATTTAATAAAAAAATATTATTGGAAAAATTAGTGCTATATAAAGTATATACATGTATATACTGTGTCATAGAAATATAAGAATCATTTCTTCCATTGATTTTTGTATTTTTTTACAAAAATATTACAACATAATTAAAATTTCATAAATTACTCCATATATGAGAGGTATTTCACATATTAATTTATATTTCTGTAAAAAAATTTCTCTTTACAGTGGAGATTTTTAATTTTATAAATAAACTCTTTTTTAAAGTTGAAATTACAAAATTATAAAATGTCACGACAATCCAGAGTAACAAAGAAGTAATACATGTAATGAAAGAAACGATTCGAAAGAGAGAATGTATCAATAGAAATTTTTTTTATTAAAAGAAAAAAGAAGAGATTTATATATATATATATATATATATATATATATATATATATAAATAAATTTTGTTTACCAGGATATCTGTCGCATATATCCTGATAAATTGCGCCATCATGCGACTTTAATCCGCACGTAGTTGCTGTACAGCTGATACAGCTTGTGTTTTTTTACCATCAGTAGGAACTCATCTATTTTGTTTTAAGACAATCGAGATATTCTAATTAAATTTTTAATTGACGATAATTAAAAATATTTAGATATATTCTATTATAACGAAATATATATATATATATTTTTTTTTTATAATTATATTTATATATTTATATATTTATATATTTATATATTTATATATTTATATATTTATATATTTATATATTTATATATTTATATTTATATTTATATATTGTAAGGATTACAAAAGAAAAAGAGAGAGAAAGAAAGTATCGATATTATATTCCTTATTGTCTTTCATTTTTCCTAGTAAACAAAATTTATATTTCAAACACTTCATATATCACATATGTATATAGACATTTCCAGATTGAACGCACCATGTATCATGGTAAAAAAATCTAACATTGCCTTTTTTATTAAATATATATAATAAAATATTTTATAAAATTATTTATTTTATATAACTATTTTTTAATTTTTTAATGTTTTAGTATCGAAAACTTAATAGATCAAATTGTCGAGCATAGTTTTAAACTACGATACATAGAAACCTACACATATTCGATATTCAACCCGGAACGGCTTAAAACTGAAATGAAACATATTAATGATATGCAGAGAAAGCGCATAATATTAATATATCGATTTTCTCGCATGAATGAAAAATTTAGTTCAGAGGATCAGAGGGGGAGGAAGAGGAGGAGGAGGAGGAAGAGGGCGAGGGTGAAGAGGAAGACGAATCGGACACCCACGAGGAGGAGGAGGAGGAGCTCGATGAGATTGACATGGAAGTCAGTTATTCTCATCATCCGCAGAGGTCCAGCCCGACAGATACGGTGACCGCTCCCGTGTCCATCAGGATGGTCAACGCATCGAACTTGACCCGTTATTCTTAACTTAATATTTTCACGTGTCAAACGTATCACTTAATTACTTAATTATCTGCTAATCTCTATATAACTATGGCGACATCGCGTTCTATTTCTAATTCTATCATAAATTATTTATTAGAATCATATTAGAGTCATGTCGATCGATAACATGAATAAAGGCCTAGTATTTGTTCCTTTTTTTATTCTCTCTTTCTCTCTTCGACGACAGGGAAAATCCGTCGCTTTTCTCTGAATTTATTTTTATCGTCGATTCCGTCGTTGGGCAAACAGTGAGCATTCCGAAATTGAAACTCTCGCTCGCTCGCTCGCACTTAGGCTTAGGTCAAGAACCTGACGTGCGACTATAAGCCGACGTCGATTCTAAGCGGTGCAAATTCCATCGTGACGTTGGAAATTGCACGACCAGCGAATTTGACGTTTGCGGCAGACATCTGGAGGCGTCTTCTCGCGGACCTCGCGGACCGAGGCATCCTCTTCCAGACCCAACAAACGGTCACCAAAGTAGTATTACCGCGGACAGTAATGTCTTCATTCCTTGTATACGTCGAGAGTCTCTCTCTCGAGAGGAGAGAAGCGACTCGCGCTTCGTCCGGAGCGGTCGAACAAAAGCGCCCGTCCTTTTCCTTTTCCTTCGCGATCCCGTCTCTCCTTCTCCTTCTATCTTTCTCTTTCTTCGGAACGGACCGACAAAGTCGCCTCGTTCTCTCTCTCTTTCTCTTTTACTGGCGAGGAGCTGTGGAATCGCGTCGTGCTCGACCGGGACACTTTCAGTACGCTCCCCGTGTACCCACCTATACTAGGTATAAGTACACGCGAGAATGTATTATATACCTTTATACAAGGTGTTCAGAAATACGCACTTGAAGGCACTGTAAAGTGATAGCTTCCGTAATAATTTTTTTTTAATACAAACGTTTAAACTCTGGCTAATTCTAATTTACAATTGAACACTCGGATGATTATTTTATTAATTGTTCGTCCTAAGATACAATTATTCATGCGTTTCACTCAAGCAGCCTATCTTAAATATGTATACGCGAGAGAGAAAGAGAGAGAGAGAGATTGACGGGTATTTGATTATTTTATTTTTTATCATTTTTGCTACAGTATTTTGAAAAGCAAATCTTTCTGGATATCTATACATACATGATTGTTATATATAGTTTTCTATATATATATATATATATATATATATATATATATATATATGTACAAATTTTTATATAAAAAATATATATATGCATTTTTATATACATGTACATACAATATACACGTATACACAATGCGCCAGCTCTCCCGGCGTGTAACTGAAGTAAAGCCAGGTTGGTGCCCCCGCTAGGGTGAACGAACGGGTACGCTCAGGCAAAAGCGAACCCGTGTGCCTCCTCCTCCACCACCATCGCCACCTCCTTCTCCACTAGCAACAACGTTCTCCTCTTCCTCCCCGTTAAACGGAGATCGTCACCGTGGACTCTCGCGAGACGAGAAAAAAATGCGAAAATTGCTTGCTCGTAATAAGAATTTCGCATTCGGAATCTCGCGATCTGCGGCATTTCGATACCGTACGTCATACGCGCTTGCATATTAAATTATTGAAGCGATATAGCGATATCGATCTACTCTATTCGACTTGCTCGTGCCAACGCGCGATAAAGTCTCGCGTCGGTAATTCAAATAATCCAACATGATCGCATATCGCGCTGTGATATGCGTTTCTATGAATCCTGTATATGTGTAATAAAATTTGATTACTTTGCTTAATTTGTTTATTTTCTCATCTTAAGCTCGCATTGTCTCTAATCATAGGTAATCGAGAAAACTGTGCATTCTTCGATATACAGTTAAATAAATTTGAAGTACTCGTGAAGTACTCGTGAAGAATTAAAATATTAATCGAATAAATGCAATATATGAAAAATTGTACTGATAAAATTATATATATGCTATTCCAAACGAGAATTACGAATTTTTGTTTAATATAGCATAATACCATATTTTTTTAAATCGTGGATTTCTTTCGGAATTGAAAGCGATGAAATAAACCGTAAGGACATCTTCCAATTGTTGCATGCAAAAATATTATAATTTCACTTTTATTGATCCAAACTGTTTTCTTCCATTTAATTGTTCTTCTGTAATATGAATTTTCCATTTAATTTTGAAAAAATATTCTAATCTCCATGATAAGGTAATAGTTGAAAACGGATCGAATATTTTTCGAAACAGTTATGTAATATCACGAATTATATTAATCGTATTATTGAAGTAATTATATCATAAATCAAGGCAAATAGACGTGATAGATAGTAGAAAAATCCTACATATATGCTATGACTAATATTAAATCAATATTTAATCTTGCTTATTTATATAATAAATATTTAATATTATTTAATTTATTTTATCATTTGGAGTTTTTAAGAATTTAATAAGAATTTAATAAAAATCTATTCTTCTTACTATATATTAGCAACAAAGAAATATGTTGTTATTTAGTTTTTATAAATATTTTTATAGGATTAAAATATTCTACAATTTGTTTCGAATGATATATATTTTCAAAAGACATACAACACTCACACAGTTATATGTACATAAAGTGTAAGCGCATTTTCATTTGGCATTCAGAACACGCGCATAAATTCCGGGATTTATGAATCACAAGTTTGGTGCGGATCGTAATACCGTCTGGATTTATGAATTAATACCGGTCATATTACATCTATAAATCTTAGCGTTTAGACAGAGACGCAATTGTTCGCGCAAATTATCTGACTATCTCGCGATTCGTTGGTAGATTATCAACGGTCTTTATCACTTTTCAATAAATTTTTTTCGTTTCTTGTATCTCAATCTTTTCGCGCAATATTCATCTCAACAATATTCGTGAAATAATATAGGATTTTATTGCATTATTTCCTCGAAATTGAAGAAGCATATAATTGTTGATGAGAATTAATAAATTTTATAGATACGGAAACTCATACCAAACAAATAATCGATAGACAAATTACAAGAAAACTAAAACTTTTGTCAATATATGCCCACATAGTTAAGCATAAATATACAGAAATATTTCGGGATATCTTATCCTCTGCCAGTAGCGAGACCTTCGACGAAAAAATTATCTAATAATAATGATCTACAATACCTAAATCATTATCATGATTCTGTAAATATTGGTTTTATAACAATCAGTAATAATAAATATTTGACAAGTAATTTAAGTGACTTCAGTGGTTGACATTGATCGATTATTTCATCTATAGGCGAGATATATTTGAATTTTGTTAATTTAATTATTCATGGAAAAAAGAGAATTTTGAACTACTGCACGTGATTTACATGTATCAATTTGATTTACTGACCTACATAGATTAATCTAAATTTATGTTTAAAGTCTTTGAGCGATATGTTTCTTCATTTTCCCGAATTTTTCCAGCGAAAAGTGTCACATGGAGAACATTCTTAAAATTACATTTGTCATATCGACACATAATTAATGTAACGATAATTTTATAGTTAACAAATTTTATAAAAGACATCAATCTTTCGCGGTGTTTTGTGAATAATACAGTCATCAATTATTATTATCAATTATTATATAAGTTATTCTAAGTTGTTTTATTTATCATTTCTTTTAATTATTAAAAAAGTTTTCTTATTTGCTTGCTTTTAGTTAAGAAAATATATATAACAAACAAAAATTTTATATACAAACTTTTTAACGTGCATTATTATATTTATGAAAACTAAATAAACGGATCAAAAAAATAAAATAAAGTCAAAGTACTGTAGAACAATGAAAATTGAAAGGAATGTTAAAGTCGCACATAAATATCCTTTTACTTATTGTTCGTTTTTAATCAATTGTTGACATTTCTTTGACAATGAAAAGGATCCGAAGGAGATCAAAACGTCTGTCGACGGATTTTATATCATATAGTTTTCTGTGTGTATACTTTGTAGACATTTATGATTTCTCTACTATTATGTTATTTTAATATATCCAAGTACACTATTATTACGCATAATATCATCAGTGTTTCTGATTCTTATTATTAGCCTTACTCATTCATTATTGGAATACATTTAAAAATCAATAAATTTAATATCAATAATAAAATAATCTCTCGGTGTAAAAGGAAAAATAACTTTCAATTGCGCTCATACAGCGTGATCGTTTTTTTACATATTGAAGTTTGATCACGCTGATTTATCGTGTCACGTGAGAAATCAATCGTCACGCCGGATTGATTTCTCTCTCTCCCTCCTTTCTCTCTCTCTCTCTCTCTCTCTCTCTCTCTCTCTCTCTCTCTCTCTTTCACAGAATGGCGATTACGCCAATCTTCAGGAGCAGAGCTCTCTCGGCTTAGTTAAACACCCTAACCTGCCTCAAAAGATGCTGTGCAGCGTAAGAGATAATAAATCCTGGTTAGCTCTCGTGACAACGACTATGGCGATGGAGACGGTGCTCGCTGAAGGAACAAGAGACCGCTGCGACCGAGGCCAAGAAACTCTGAGAATAATAAATTGTATTTATTAAGAACTCCGACTGACGTCTTTTAAAAAACGTATATACATGTATGTGCATGATGTTTCATGATAAGCGTATTTCATATATATGACGAATGTTTCCGGAGAGAGAATTCAAATAATTCTTCTGCAACAGATATGAATGATTCTTCGTCGATTAAAAAAAAGAGATAATTTTTCTGGCCAATTAATAATATAAGAATTAGAATAGATAGCGAGATCGGCGAGGTCGCATCTCGATGATGCGATTGCTGTAGCGAGAAGATATCGCGGAAGATGGAAGAAAGTTGGAGGAACGAAGAGAGGAAGAAACGGAACATGACGAGCCGAGAAGGGTGGACGACCAAAGGTTAGGGGAAAGAAGAAAGGAGGGAAGTTGTAGAACAGAGGGGGGAAAGGGGAGGGAACGAAAGGGCGTGTGTAGCGAAGGAGGAGAAAGAATGGGTAGAATCGATCTCCCGTACGCCAAGAGAGCGAAGGAGGATGCTGTGCATCGGACAAGCAAGGGAGAAAAATGGCATATGCGAGAGCCGAGTCTGCATCGTAATAAGAGAGAGAAAAAGAGAGAGAGAGAGAGAAAGAGAGATGAAGGGGTCATGATGCGAGATGATCGGAAAGTGCGTAAAGTCGGACGAGGAACT